GCGCTCTCTCGTCCCCCCCCCCCCCTTACAACCTCATAGGCGATTCCCAACTCTCCAGCTGTAGACAATGAATTGATCAACGATCCATCCCATCACACGTCGCACCTATGCTATCTATACCGCCAACCATGCTGTCAGTTAGTAAGTCAATCATTGAAAGAACATGGCGATACTGGCCTACTTTTGAGTCTCTCTGCGAGTCTTGAGGGATGTTAAATCCTCTTTGGGTTGAATGGCCGTCCCTCTCTCTCCCAGCTTCAATTTGCTCCAACGCAGCCAAGCACAGTCGCCGTTCACGTTCTGTCCTGGCTTCCCATTGGGCGATTAGAGATCTGTACATCTTCATGCTGACAGCGGGGTCAGTCATCACGGAATATGATTACGTGCATGAGACCTGTCGAATGATCCGAAAACCCCTTCCGTCCCCATTCTCTAACTCCCTTTCTTCTGCCGTACAAACCGTCAGACAACCAAAATACATCTAGTATCACAATAGGTTGAGCGTTATTTCCTAAAGTCTGTAGGAGAGGCTAATAAATCGTCCCGACTGATATGGAATCGTATTCTTCATCTCGCGATGACGCCGACTTGTTGCGCCTCGGCAAAAAGCCTGTCCTCCAGCGGAATCTGAGCTTTCTGACAAGTCTTGCTTACAGCTGCACTGTGCTTGTCACCTGGGAAGCGTCTTTGATGTACATCTCTGCTGCTTGTTCACCGTTGATAGATATCTGATTAGAGCGTAGTGTCTTCATCTCGGGACTATACAAGTGAGTTACGGGCTTGAAAAGCAGGCCGCTATCATCTGTGTCACATATTTCTCATACTATCGGCGCAGTGGTGGTCCTGCGGGTATCGTCTACGGTTATATCTTCGTCTGGGCCGGAATGATGTCTACCTTCATCACCCTTTCTGAAATGGCCTCTATGGCACCTACATCTGGTGGGCAGTACCATTGGGTGTCCATACTCTCGCCATCATTTACGCAGAAATTTCTTGGCTACATTACTGGCTGGCTGCAGTTGACCGGATGGCAGGCGGCGGTCTCGTCGGGTGCATTCCTCACAGGCACTATGATACAGAGCCTTATTCAACTAACACGCCCGGAATACCGCGAGCACATGCAGAACTGGCACGGGACCTTGATCAGCTGGGGACTTCTCATCCTTGGCTTCATTATTAACGTGTCATTTAGCACCCTTTTTGCAAGATTCGAAAGCTTGGGGTTCATTATCCATATCCTCGGCTTCTTCGCCGTTCTTATACCCCTAGTAGTACTTGGCGACCACAATAGCCCCAGCGCCGTGTTCGACAATTTCTTAAACCTAGGTGACTGGCCAACCCAAGGCCTTTCTTTCAGTATTGGTATCGCAGGAACTGTCTTCGCTTTTCTCGGTGGCGATGGAGCCATGCACGTGAGCGCTCCCGTCTCATCAGCTGGGACTGGGCTTTGGGCAACACTAACCTCTATAGATGGCAGAAGAAATCCGCAACCCTGCGATTGCATTGCCCCGATCACTCCTTGCCACACTAATCCTCAATGGTACATTGGGATTTGGCACGGTTATTGCGCTACTCTTCTGCGCGGGTGATATAGATGACGCCTTAGCCGAAGACGGACGGTATCCCTTCATGCCCATCCTTCGCAATGCCCTCGGCTCAACAGCAGGCGCTGCTGTTCTAGCTTCCCTCATTATAGTTATGAGCTTTACCTCTTTAACAGGCTGTATAGCTTCCACATCCCGCATTTATTGGGCGTTCGCTCGGGACCAGGCCCTTCCAGGCTGGCAAACCTTGAAGAAAACCAGCACAAGAACGAGCATACCATTCAATTCTATTGTCACTACGACTGCCTTAGCAGCTATTCTCTTGCTTATTAATATCGGTAATGCAACTGCGTTCAATGGCGTAATATCGATATCAATTGCAGGTGTAATGGGGTCTTACTGTGAGAAACTCTGACTAGAAAGTGCTTATGTACACGGGTCTGACTGTGGTTTTTGCAGTGATCGCGGCTTGTGTTTTACTCTATCGTAGACTCACTGGGGCCATCCAAGAGCCTAAAACTGATGATGGCAAAATCAACAGGATGGATTCGAATCTAGTTTGGGGCCCTTGGCGCGTCAAATCTATCCCAGGAATTATCATCAACTTATTAACGATTGCTTTCCTGGTCTTCTGTTTGTTCTTCAGCTTTTGGCCCACTTCAAGCATGATCACACCCCAGAACTTCAACTGGGCTGTACTAGTGACTTCAGTGGTTTTGTCATTTAGCGTCGTATATTATTTTGTATGGGCGAGGAAGATCTATGCGGGGCCTATTGTTGAAGTGTAGTTGCTACGTCCGCGGGGAAAACGTGCGTCGTGTAATGTGAACAACAAAGTAATCTCACATCACCGTCTGAGCTTACTTCCTGCGATGTAACGGAGAGGCAAGGGGCATTTCTGGGCTTCACCCCTGTGTCAACTACAGGACAATGCCGTTCTCACCACGATGCCCAGCCTGAAATCTTCCTATACTTTGTTACCTTTATACTATACTGTACTCGTGGATATCTAGCCGAACCTATCGAGTGCTCTTGGTGGCGATGATCCCCATGCACATTATTATAGCCATTAAGAAATGTTGCATCTTGTGGACTCCCAAGCTACCCCAGCAGTGTTAGTCCAGATCTTGTCGCAATAGCCAATCCTGGCCTCGCTTACTAGTACATACTGCATGTTGGTGATGCAGTCATTATTTACCAGCTAGCTATAAAAGACGGCGATTTCTCTCCGAGGTTATAGAGGTTAAAGAAAGCAGCCTGCATGATCATGTCGGTCAGCACCGCGTTTGCCGCTCTGTTGATCTAAGCAAGTCTGTCACTAGAGCAGCTCGATTTGACGACTCGTCGCAAAGGTCTCTCCTCTCTTCTCTCTTCACTCGGAAGTTCATGATAGTCTCCTCCTCTTGCTAGTGCCTACTGCGTGATTACATTAGCACCTGATTAAGGATATTTTCTCTTTGCTGTGTTTAGATATCAGATATCTGATCGCTTTCGTGTCAACACACGCCTGTTGGCCTTGTGTCAGTATATGAATTTTATTTCTGATCAAACCGGTTCACGTCTGCGAAGCATGTTTTTCTCCAAGCGCCAGATCTCCGCCTACAACAAAGTGCCAAACACTGATGTGCACGACGATGAAGAACAATTACCGAACATAAAAACCCGATGGAACGAGAAAAGCCTACTTCAGCCCCGGACTGTGATAATACTGACTGTTATTATCACCATAGTCCTTACGATCTCCGTGTCAGCGATTGCCTCTATTCTTGGACTCAAGTCTGTTGACGAGCCCCTAGAGGAGGAATCGATTTCATGCGGTCACACGCCGACAGAAGCTAGAGCTGCCGGTTGCGTGTTTGAGCCAATGATGAGTGCTTGGATTCCAGCCCAATGTTCGTTTCCAGAGCTTATCGACGACACTGCCGGCACCTTTGAAAACTGGCTGTTCTTCTCAGATCAAACATTAAAGAGACCAATTACGGGAGTAGAGCTAGAAGGGGTACGAGTTGGTAACTACACCAAGGTCTTCTCCTCGCACGGAACTGGTCACGACCTACATTGTCTCTACGCCTGGCGAAAATTGAATCTCGCTGTTGAGAGCGGAGCTAAGCTAATTGACACAAAGAGTCGGTCGCTGCACCACACTACTCACTGCGCGAAGCACATTGCTCAGCTGTTGGAAGAGGGGGCCGGCTTTCTGCCGAAGGATGAAGATATGCGCCGCATTACTGCGTTTCCTCTGTTGTTCCTTAAATGTATCCCTCTCATTTGATAGTCAGAGGATAGAAGTCAAAAAAGCTTACCATAGAATTGTGTCATTTCCTCAATATTTTGCTATGTGCTCTATGTTACAACATTATTTCATGATTTGGGAACTAGCATACTTCTAGCGCGTCACTTCTCTGGAAGCCATTAAGAGACTTCTCTTTGGATAACCTAAACACCAACTCGGGATAGCACAACTCTGTTACATAATCAGTCTGTCACAGCGTGTTCATCCCCTCCAGAACAGCGTCTTAGATAACTTGGATAGTCTATATTGAATACTCAGATCGGTAGGAAAGTAGCGGTGATGTGCTAGTGCTGATTTTTTATCCTCTCAACTATCTCTTGCCGCTCATAATCCTTCCGGCAGCGCGTGCGGCGTGAAGCTAGTTGTTGGCTGTGGTCTGTATCCTTGTCATCTTATATGCAAGTGTGGGGTTGTATCCCTGACTGCTAACCCCCGCCGTTAGGATAAGCTTTACTAGGGTGACATCCCACGAATCTGCCACGAACAAGTCGTGAACCAACAAGCAACTAGGGGTTGTACGACCTAACAAATCAACTTGGAAAGGATTTAAGCGAGAGGATGTCAAAACTGTTCTTGATAGGTAAGCGAATTCGGATGGTCGGGATACATACCGAATCTGGTGGTCATGAGAGCTGTATCTTTAAGGGTGGGTTCCTGAATTGGATCCCTGTGACAACAATCTGCATAGGCTATTGAAAAGTTCCCTGCCACTGTTTAGCGAAAGCAGAAATAGCCGTAATATCACAGATAAGAGTTAGTTAGCTGAGGGTTTCCGGAGTTACCCTGGGTGGGCATAGTTCATTTGTTGGCAGACCGAAATGATGGCCCTTACCGAGTGGTAGAATGGAGAGGGGAGTGTGAATGAGTAAGGAGCAAGAATTATGTTGCTTTCAATTTCGCAGAGACTATTCGTTCGTAATTCTTTGATCCTGTGGCTCGCACATTAAGCTTAGCGTTCAACTACTTGAAAACCGCTCTTTCACATAATAGTGCAGTCATAGACCAAGATCAAGAGATTTCCCCACAAACCCTAGGTTTCTATCGCAACCGTAGATAACAAGATCTATACAAGACAGAATTGGATAAATGATTATTTGAATATCTTCTTTAACCACTTCTAAGACCGGAATTTTAGCACTGATTGCTACAAAACTTGCCCCTCACTCATCAGGAAGCACGTGCCCGTGCTCTTCTGTCCATGCTCGCAATGCATCGCGATTCCGACATACATGTTTCCGGCCATTGGGCACATGGGGCCACTTAGGCTCAAGATTGATAAGGGTTGGGTCTAAGAAGCAGTAAAGTGCTTGTCTGACAGCCTCAACACAATGCAGAATATGGTCACGTTGTAGTTTGTCCTCCATAGTACCGAGGCCACTGGGGTCGTAGAGTTGATTTCGGATCTGATACTACAAGCTAGTTAGCACCGCGTGGCTCAAGGAAGCAGATTGTGGTTTCTTCGCTTACCAGGCAATGTAGTTGGTGGTATCCTGCAATCTGATATATGAACTTGTCGGGCTGGTCTACAGCTCTCACACTAGGCGGCAGACCGTGCTTCTTCACGAAATCATCTGTGAGCGCGACACTTGAACCTAAGGCTAGATTTTCGGGTTGTCAGTCAGTTGCTGATATTAGTGTAATCTAACCAATGCTTAACGTACTCGGAAACACGCCCTTCCACTTTTCCTGTGCATAGCGAGCACTACTATTGTCTTCTATTCCAATCCAGTCGTGATCAAATGAGACCATAATTTTGTCTGGTGTACCAACTAAACTCAATAGTTAGTATCGTTAGCATTGTTAAGGGAACTGCCCACTGACAGTAATCAGGGTCCCTCAGTATTGGCCGTGCCCATGGCTTTGATGATATGAACCACAAGAGATTTGAAACGATTAGAAGAAGCACAAGACCGATCTCAGTAAGGTTGAATTTTCTCAATCTCCATAGACTGTCCTTCCAGTTGGAACTTGCAGAAAGCTCGCCAGCTGAGCTTATTTCCTTTGATTCTTGAAAAAGTAAAATCTCATTTTCATCAAGCGCTCCTTCAACCTTCTGCGTCACAGGCACATACGAAGGCATGATTAATAGATTATTGTTTTGGGTATCTCGAAGCAATACGACTTGTACGGCCAAACTCATAACATAGCATGCCGGCCAGACCACCCCTCTCTGGAGTTATCAACTGTCTTCTTTGCGACCCACGGCTTCAGGAGGGTTGGAGAGCCTTGACAAACTGTGAGCATCAATATTGCCCCCTGTACGTCGTATGTTCCTAATGCATTGTTCTTCATCGCTTGAATACGGTGTGCCCGCGTTGACTCATCTAGTTATGCAGCATCGCGGCGCTGAGCTACTACACATGAGTTACGCGATAAAGTCCTACATGTAGTATTTCGTATTCAACCCTGCAATGACCTTCAATGGTTACCGGTATTGGAAGACGGCACAATCCCTGTCCTGATAATCGAGAAGCGGTATCAATAACTGGATAGCCTATACCCCGGACTAGTTGTGGATGCGGCTAATCTATGACTGCATAGCATTCCTAGGGTATCAGACAAGGGTTCTCAATGTCAGATCTTTAGTGTATAGATTGTAACTATTGCCACTGATCCACAACGCCTTATGGGGAAACGAAATTGTTCCAAGCTGATTACCGGGTTGTGTTCGCCAAATGGGACAAAGGTTGGTCCCTACAGGGCAGAGTCAAGCAACCCCGCTCAAAGGGAGTTGTACCCTCAAGTACGCAGATCGCTTAGGGGGTCATCAAAGTGGCAGATGTGCCGGATCAGAGCAATATTAAACTATTTTAGGTGTCACATGTATCTATAGCACAGTATATTGTTTTCTGTACCCATGACCTCGCCCACCGTTGCTCCTTCTGCCAATCCGCTGTAATGTAGCACATCCTGAAGACTCGTCGGTTTTTGGGTTTCACTCTCGTGTTGTTTGTAATCATGTAAGCGCTGCTGCGGAGTTTCTTGCTGCCATTGCCACCATAGCCTGTCTAGCTGAACATGATGAAGCCAGAAAATTGGATCTAGTACTGGTGCATGAGAGTTGAGTGGAAAACGGCAATATGAGTAGAGGGACTTACCGTTAGGAGCAACCTCAGTATCAAGATCGCCGACCACTTCTGTGTGTATGATGTTGTGAATCACGCTTTCTATCAGCCAGCGGAATCGTGCATAGTCTTTTGATCGCGCCAAGCGGCCCATGATCTCTGGTCTGATCAACTCTCCCGACATAGACCCAACCTCCCCAGAGTCATAGTTTGTAAAGATTCTAGACAAGCAGTGGGGAGATATCGTCCCATTGCCTCCATATCGAAGCTCTACATGAGAAAATGGCCCGGAGACACAGCTTCCCTGAGTGTAATGGGTACTTTGCCCTCCAAAACCCAGTTCGTCGTCCCATATTGACGACTTGGTTAAATTCTGCCAGTCTGATGTCCAATCCCAGTATCTGCAAGCTCATGTCAGTAGCCAGCAGGCTCGGGGGGTTGACCATTGAGTATTACGGACGGTAACTGGCCTTTAAACTGGCAGTGCTGGCGTAGCTTTTGTTCATATAGATGAAGCAACATCCTGTGCCAAGGCAAAAACTCAGCATACCCGTGAGCTTTGGAAAATGGTTAGTATAGTTTCACCTTGCGTAGATATCATGTGTATAGGTAAGTATACCAGTCTTTGCCGCCCGTATATGAGCCCAGGTAAAGTCATCAATGATCGAGCCAGCGCCGATCAGCTCAGAGTTAGTGTTATATAGACAGTTCACTGCCGATAAGTACTCAGACCGCTCATGTTTCTTCAGACTTCTCCATTCTCTTCTGATGAGGGGATCACCGCATGTGTTTATTGCTGGCGATGGTAAAGATCTATCATTCAAAAGAAAAACGGTAATAAATGCGAAAGCTGCTAATCCTGTCAAACCAAACAGAATGGTCGTTCCATAGTTTATCAGTCTTCTTGATAGTTGGGTCGGCTTTTTAGTTCTATTGCGTGATGTCAATATCTGCATTCTGGACTTTAGTGAGTAGATCGTACTTACGCAACCTTAGCAACATGATGCTCGCTCTTTCCGAGGGCATAAGACATAGACGAAGCCTCAGGTTCCGGTAACATGTTTACAATTTTACCTTGTAGTGCCGTGGCGTGGTGAAAGAAAGCACCAAACTCTGCGTTATAGTGCCAGCAGTAATTCCTTCATGCATTGAACTTCATGTGGTATTTCTCTAGTGCTGGGGCATACAGTCTCCGGCTTACTAGCAAATTGAGAGTCAAATTCATGACTATCTTTCCTCCCGCAGCAGATTCGATGACCAGTTGTGAAATCAAGTATTAGAGGGTGGGGCCACGTTGTCTGCCCCGTGTAGGGATGATTAAGCGTTATTGTGGCACAGCAATTTTAGTTACGAAACCTTGTCAACCTACAGTATATGATCCAACTGCATCCTGCGGGGAACCTTGCACAATAGGTGAGATAAATGTATATAGGCTATCTCAAAGGAACTTTCGTAGGGAGTACAAGCGCCACTGACGAAATTTCACAGTGGATGTCTGCCATTATTGATGTAAACAAGAAGAAATCCGGCTAAGGCTCAAATCTGGCCTAACTATCCATGCTGACGAATCTTGCAGCACATATTCATGCAAAGGAGACGTTCAAAGTAGCGGTCAATCGATAACTTAGTTCCAAAATGAGTTCACTCTGTTCAAATGACTTCAAAATACATGATTCTGCCGGGTCAGTAGGCTATCCTCTATGTTTCAGTGGAGAAGGCAACATATCACCATCAGGGGGTCAATGCAGTTTGTTTCCCTATTGCACAAAGTGGCGGGGTGTAGATTGAAAGAGGAAGGAGGATTAGCGAAGAAGGGATGAATATTGATAATTGCCGGAAGACTGAAGATAGAAAGGAATTCAGAGAGTTAGTTATGTTTGTGATGCTTTGATGAGTGAGTGAAAGTATATAGGCGCGCATTTTCCGTGGATATCACTTGGAATTTTGCTCTTGAAATACAGCACAGCTCTCTGATCACATTGTAACAGTTAATACGGGGACCTTTAATAATATATTTTTGAATAGCCCAAACACAACGATGCAATTCAAGACCGTTCTTTTCCTCTCGCTCACCGCTGGCGCCATCGCTGGCCCTATGTTTGCAGCGTAAGTACCGCCGTATAGTCCTACTCTTCTGAACTTTGGCACTGGAACTAATAGCTCTTAGGGTTCGTCATCTAACTCATGAAAGTCCCCACTTAAAGCACTAAAACATTGTGATATAGAGACGGGATACTGTCCTTCAGCGCAAGTCTGCTGAGGTTCAGGACTCGGATGATGCCCAGATCTATACCATCGACGATAAAGCTTCTAATATCGAAGACGCAGACGACACTCAAATCTATACCATTGATGAGAAAGCTTCTGCTGTTGAAGACGCAGATGAGGCTCAGATATACCTTATCGAAGACAAGGCCGCTGATGTTGAAGACACCGACGACACTCAGATCTACACCATTAACACCAAGGCTGCAGACGTTGACGCATAGATATATTCTTTCTATTACAAATACAGTATGTTTTTTATGTCCACACACAAACACTATTGAAAATACTTAACAATACACTATCGTTTGAAGGCAGCTGTTGATCTAACAATAAAGGAAGCAGGGTCTATCATAAATGCGATATTTTAGTCACTATTTCCTCCAAGGAACTCCCTATGTCATTGTTTACGACAAATCATTGAGTTAGCGGGGTCGTTTCTATTTCTTCGTATTTGGGAGACTTGTGAAGAGTGCTCTCCGAAAGATCTTTCGGCTAGCTACAGATGCTGCTCTAAGGCGCAATACACTCGTTTAATGAGAAACGCTCTTATGTCTTAAAGTAGCACATACACTACATATCATACCGTCCACGCAAGTAACAACTTATCGCTCTCATTCCTACGTGAAATATGTTCTCATTTGTAAGGAAAGGACAATATTATATTCGAGTGCCTAGACGGGTAAAAATCTGAAGGTTTGATTATTTGAATTAGTCTGAACACCTTCTCATCTGATCTTTTGAGCCTCACGCAACATTAACAATCTTATTATATTCCTATGCTTCTGTATGTATCTCATGATAATATTTGCTTCGGCTAACCGCAAATTATTGGGCCATATTTTAATGTAGAGAGGTTAGACATGTGACAAGAGGATGCGACCAGGGCGGATGTTCCTAGGTATTACAATTCAATGAATCATCTAACTTCGCATCTATATTTAGGACATTCTTGGATTGAAAGCGAGCTTTTTCATATATATAAGGGCATTAAAAGCCACGTATAAACTCGCAGTATAATTGAGCGTAGTACATAAGTCAGTGTTTTTAAGTCACTATAAAATTGAGTCCGTAAAATCACCCACCAAGTTTTGCTTCAGTACTTACTTTATATTCGCCCACATCATTACGAGTTCAATCAAGCACTTCCACCCTCCACTTATCTGCCCAAGCCGACACCTGGCTAAAGTCACGGCACTTTCGCAAAGAACCGAATCCATTGACACCACCGCGGTTTTCAATGATTGGCTCGAGATTTGTATCCGCTGAGCACATGATAGATTGACGAAGGTAGTCGAAACAATGCCGTAAATGACTCGGCTTGGCGTGATGACTGGGCTCAACGCCGTCCATGGCTGACCAGTATCCCCACCGAATGATATCCTATACTTAATTCAGTAGCCCATCCGAAGCAGAGATGTATTTATGCTTACAAGACAATGTAATTGGTGAAACACAGAAAGGCAGTGTGTCTCTGGAGATATATCAGGATGCTTTATGAATCCTCTGCCCCCTGTTGTGGTGGTGTTGTATATTAGCAACGAGGCACTGATGATATTATTTAGAGAGTAATAAACGTTCACTTACTTGGGAAGATGGAATCCCACAGTGCATTAGTATCATTGTCTGGGCGTAAAGTATACATTTTCTGATATCTGAAGACCGCATTTACTTCTCCGGGAGGCGCTAAACACTTCGTTTAGTAAGCTCTTCGACAATAGCCATATTTGTAATTCTACTTTACATACAGAACCAGTCGAGTTGTGTTTGAATAGTCTCCTGTGCACTAGCGCCCCATTTGAAGCACACGAAGCCAATGGGAAGTGTGGTCAACAGCGAAATTAGAAGAACGCTAGTAAACCAGCGTGTCGCTGTCATTCCATCGGTATGACTGATAGGTTTGGTGGGTGTGCTTGACATGGTATGAGGTAAGTTAGAGTCATCTAACACCTTTTGATAGTTATGGCGACGAAAGAACATTCTGAACGTATATGCTATAGGTTGGCTTGCAGGGTAACTAAACAACACAAAAGTCAGATATATCAAGCCGCACACAGAATTTGTCTGAAGGCATGAGGCGAGGTTTTCATAAAATTAAGAGTCCTAAAGCGTCTGCTAAGTACATTTCATATACATACCGGTACCATATCATCGTAGGGGGTCCCATCATTCCACTACACCAACGTAGAGCCCGCAGGAGGCGTGCAGTATGCATATGCAGCTGACGAAGCACTTACTTCCATGTAGGTATTTTGCAACTCTATATTTCCCAATGCATAGCACTCCGTAGTGGCGGTGATGTTAGCGGCTGGCAAGAAAACACCCAGGTTCTTAGATAACCGGCGGACCAATCGCGGGGTTGCCTGGTTACCCTCACCCGCATATTTGTACACTCAAAAACTGGGTGGCGGATTTGTGACAGGGGCAGCGCAGTAATCACTGATCCAGATCCGACCCAATCAACTACCAAGAATGTGTCCTGTTATCTGTAAGCGCAGAGTATAGGCTAACAGATCCGACGACCCTAGGCAGTATTACAACTCGGATTCCTTGACAAATTGTCTAACAGATGTTGATGGCTACTCAGCTGTTGATGTTGACGTAATGCGACTATCTTTCACATGATTTCCCACTAGTCGCCTGTTGTACTGCGTTTAGATGGAGTTGAAAGACCTCGCAGTTCATGATTATGTGCGGTGCTGTAATACGACTAGTTTCAGAGATAACAAGGATTATCGGGCTTTCAGCGATTGTATATGGTAACTGACGCCTGGGTTACTGAAACAAACCTTCCTACATATATTAACAAGTATGGCCTACTTCTGCAAACTCTTAGTATAAAGGTGATATGAACTTCACTTACTGCGGTCAAGTAGGTAGATAGCAGGTAGTACAGTGCTCAATCGAGCAGTCAATTCTTTCTGAACCTTGTCAACTTCCGGGGCGGCAACAGCCCTTCATATAGCCGGAAGATCTAATATAACTACCCCTAGACTCTATATGATTAAGTCCCCTGAAAATATGAGTACTGTACATACCGACCCACTGTTGCTACCGGGATGATCAACTAGTTAGTTAAGCTATGCATTCTCACGAAGTTGTTATCACCGAGGCTTGTCAACTTTAGATGAGGGTCATACATGTGTTATTGCCCAAGAGCGAGAGAGGGCTCTCGGCGGGTAACCCTAAGTTATTTACAGACCAGACTTTTGCCCCAAATTTATGCCAACACAGAAACTGTATATACAAGAAAAACCACTCCGAAATAAAAATACATGAAAAAAAGTGAAAGGTAATCAGTCAGGACTGATTATTTAAGGGCTGCACTGGGAGGCGGCAAGGGTCCAGCCAGTCAGGCGGTTGGCAACATCATCAGCGTAGCAGGCAACGCTAGTGAAACCGTTGCCCAAGTTGGAGTAGTCGACAGAGCCGCTGTTGTAGAGACGGGCAGCAGCATAGTAGGCGGCAGAGTTGGCGCCGCCGTAGTTACCAGAGGTTTGGGCCAAAGTCTGCTGAAGACCGTCGCCAGCGGGAGTACCAGCGGTGCCATCTTGGATCATTTGGTAGATCTGGTCCGCGGGGCAGGGGCTGACGCCCACGCAAGAGCCGGAGCCGTTGTGCGATTGCATAAGGCCGGGGTTGACGACTCCGTTGTTGGTGGTTGGCACACGCACACAACCCTTGCTCTCCTGCATCACAATAGCGAGAATAAAGCGGTTGTCAACGCCTGTGTTTGCGGACACCTGATTGATGGCCGACTGGATGTCGTTGAGCTCTTGGTCGGAGTTGTCAGCTCCCCAGCCGTTCCAGCCACAAGACTGGCGCATCAAAGGCAGGTTGGCGTTCCAGAGCTCGTCGAAAGAGCCCCAAGCCGAGCTATCGGGCCAGCCAGCATTGGTGGTACCGTCTCCTCGGTAGTTGTTGTAGACATCGGCGGTACGCTGCTGAAGGCGGGTGGGTGCTGCGGCGACCAGGCCGGCGAAGGCAGCAATAGAAAGAATGATGTTCTTGACCATTTTGAAAGGTTGTGTAAGTTCTTATTTGAAGAGAATGAATAGAATATAACGCTGCAAGCGTGACTGGAAAGTCGGAAGTGGAATTTGAAGAAAGGAATGTCTGTAAGGAATGAATGTGCTATCTACTTGATGCTGGTTGTCTAGACTAGAAATACAGACGACGAAGTGCGGCCAGCTTCACTTATATAGTTTTTTTCCAAACTCGTGAAAGCTGAGGGGATCCATAACCACGAATAGATCTCGTTGGACTGATTCTCTCGCCTCACAATCCTTACACTTGTCTCCTGACACCTTCCTTTCCAAACATCCCCAACCTGAAAAACTACTAAGGTACTGAAGGAGGAGCCCATGTCAGCGAGTACCTTCCCACAGGAGAAGGCGTCTCGGTATTGGCGTCGGAGCCTAGGAAAAGTGGACAGACTGGCAGGAGAGTTGCTGGTGCCACTCATAGGGTTGAGGTAACTCATTAAGGTAACGTGCCATGAGCGCGACACGCTGCCGTGAAGGTTCTTACTTTGGCGGAGTCAGGGGGCGGCGAACGTTCAGGCACAACGCAACTTGCTGAATATAGGAGCTAGGGACTCAGTCAGTCGTTTGCGAGTGGCGTCGTGTCGAATCCTAAAAACCGCCTCCCTGGGTAGCTGTTTAAGCTTAAACGCTTCGGTGAGTTAAAAATTCGGATATCAGATGCCTATATAGGAAAGAGTCCCTAGCAGGGGTAAATTGGTAGGGGCATAATTTCAGCGGAGGATCGCCGGGATTTAGACCAAAGCTATACCTAATATGAGCCATTAGCCCAAAGTACGAGATGTCTGTTACGTAGGTAGTGCCTTGGGAGAAGAGGGCAAGCCCAAAGCACACATACAGAGTGGTTTGTGCGATCTTGAGAAAACATGCAACACGAGGTGTCAGTTTGAGCGATTCTCTCTAGCATATTCTACCTAGGCAATCCAGTGACATCTTCATAAGATGCTTGGCAGCGGGGATTTGCGCATGCGGCACGGGGCGGCGAGGGCGGGACTGGAATCGCCCGGATCTGCCGATGCTATACAGCCTCAGGCTAGGAGATCAAAAATCCCATCGCGCCGCACTACTACATTGCCTATTAGATGCTGATTCCCTATATAAACAGGAAAATCCACAATTGCATCATTACGCCGCATCGTATTACATTGAACTGCCGTGTAGGTATTGTAGACTGATCCTCCCAATATACCGAAACCCTTGTGATAAATATGGTCGCAGCCGGAGGGATCTATAAGTAGGTAGCGCCGAGAACATGTGTTCATGCACCATGCCTATTCATTACTAGGGTCACGCCCACGATGTCATCTACGCCACACTGGATTGGTGATTCATCAGGCTTAGGATCACTCAACGGCCTCGGGGGCCTGAGGCGCCCTTTCTATTCCTTGTGATATTGGCGCCGTCTACCCATTTCCGACTGTTTGTGATCTTGTGTATGTGCAATGCTTTAACAAGTCTACAATTGAATGCGAGTTAACCCTTCGCATAGTGGAGTGAATTTTACGACTCGATTAGGTCAGATAAGCTATAGTTTCCAGATTTGGAAGTTTCAGGAGGTGGAGGATGTTTCTCGCGCGAATCACTAAGCCACAGAGTTCTGCCCCTTTAATAGGCTGAAACGATCGTTCCTGAGATGGATGTGCTGAACTCCTCACTGCAACGTAATAAAAAAGGATTTCTCGGACACTTCGTATACAATTTCAATAGGACCATAAGCAGGACCAAATACTGTAAGTGGTGGGTAAAGACAACCTGGACAGGGAGCAGGACTCAATGACTGGGAGATCGGGACTTCGAGTTGGGTGTACCCAAGAATCATGGGATCTGGGGTCGCTTAAAGCGGTAACGCATACCTAATATACCCCTGCGCCCGTACCGTGAACGATAATGAGATATGAAAGATCTCTTATGCTTGCCCCTCTTAATCGAGGCTCAACTACAACGTTGAAATTTAGGTTCTCCCTTACTTTCCAGTAAGATTAACGACCAGATATTACTCAATAGGGTATCTGTCAGATATAAGCGATGGTATATAGAATTTAGTATATTGATTAATGATATTGTTCTTATCTGTGTGACACGCTTGCTACGCAGAGATTTTATGAGGGCCCTTGTTTTCTTAACGTAGGTCTACCCTAAGGTTCCCGTTTACTGTTAAATATAAGAGGTTATATCTTAAGCTAGGATATTGGGTAAACGGGGACCTTAGGGTAGATCTGTCAGAATAGGCGAGCCAGTTGATTGGAGGTTCAGAAGTGTGTGTATTGATGATGAGCAGACTGTGCTCTGCCCCTGGGGCGTGTACTAGTAATTTATAGGGTGGATCCCCGGGGTTGGAGCTAACTTAGCTCACCCCCTATGTCGCGTTATCTGCTGACATATCCTCTAGGTATTCTGACAAGATCTATGTCGAGAAGACAGGGGCCCTCGTAAAATCTCTGCGTAACAAACGCATTATAACAATATATACACTTCTGAACCTCCAATCAACTGGCTCGCCTATTCTGCCACCAAGTCTCTAGACAACAACCTAATGTGGAGCTTTTTCGTTCGTAGCTCATGCATGATACTTCCAAATTATTATTTTTAGGCCAATGATTTCATCGTACAGCTTAGATGTGTCCTGCCGCCCTCTGGATGGCCAACCATATGCTGCGCCGCGCTTAGTGTGAAACTTGGCTATTCGAGCCTTCAAGCGTTAGACCATTCCTATTATTCATTCCAGGACTCGCGCAGTATAAAAGACTTGAACCCTTCCGTTCGTCTCACAACTAGTTGGGTGGTAAGCCGGGAAGGAACTTGCCAATCATGTGCTTACCCTTCGCCGCCAGACAGCGACGGCTAGGGCAAGCTAGCGGGAGGCAGAAAGGGTTAGAACAGTGGCTGGGATCTAGTTGATTGGATCGGCGACGTGGCTGTGCAGTGAGCAGGATTTATCAGTGCCGTACCTAGTGATAACTGTATAGATTGCCAAAGGTTTGTATTAATATTGTTGAGTAGAAGTTCTAGTTACTGAAGGAATCCATTATGAGGGGTAATATAGCTACTCCTACCGTACCTACCATCATTCGGCCAGATTCCCTCGCTATAAACACCGCGAAGGCAAAACCAGACCGTTACTTAATTATCACGAAATTTCCTCATCTTTAACTATTCGTACAAGTATTCTATTACTTCAATCTTTCCACCAACGGATTCTTTATCCAACCCCTATCTGGCCCCAAAATATATATATATAAAGGTTTTATTATAGGAGATAAAAAATAATATAATAAGGGCACCGGTATGTACGTAAATTGTTAGATATCGTACGGGGATTTCGTCATAATTTCGTTCGTAAACTATAGTCAACCATAATAAATTCAAAAATAAAAGGGATTTATCTTTTCTCCGCAATAGAAGGAAAAGGAAAAGCGAACCATCTGCTCAAGCTATACAGTTGGAAATTCTTCTTATAACAAAGATTTTTTTATTATTAGGTATTAACGGAATTCTTTTTAGTTAAGGGAAAAACGGCAAGCTATATATTATAAACCGTATACCTATAAAAAAAGGTAGGAAATTTTTCCAATTTAATAAAAAAAATAACATTTTAACTTAACCGCTATTTAGCTATAATAGGAAACTAAAGAATATATAGTAGCTTAAAAAGCGATTCGCCTTATAGCTCTTACCAATTAATAATTATATAAATTATTAAAGGTTTATATTAATATTATTAAGTAGAAGTTTTAATTATTAAAGAAATTTATTATAAGGGGTAATATAGCCATTCCTACTGTACCTATTATTATTTGGCTAAACTCCTTTGCTATAAGCACTATAAAGGCAAAACTAGACCATTACTTAATTATTACAAAATTTCCTTATCTTCAACTATTTGTACAAATATTCTATTACTTCAATCTTTCCACCAACGGATTCCTTATTTAACCCTTATCCGGCCCCAAAACACATATATATAAAGGTCTTATTACAGGAAATAAAAAATAACATAATAAAGGTACCGGTATATATATAAATTATTAAATATCGCATAGGGATTTTGTTATAATTTCGTTTATAAACTATAGTTAACTATAATAAATTTAAAAATAAAAGGGATTTATCTTTTTTCCGCAATAAAAGGAAAAGGAAAAGTAAACCATTTGCTTAAGCTATATAGTTAGAAATTCTTCTTATAATAAAAATTTCTTCATTATTAAGTATTAACGGGATTCTTTTCGGTTAAGGGGAAAATGGTAAGCTATATACTATAAACCGTATACTTATAGGAAGGGGTAGGGAATTTTTCCAATTTAACAGAAGAAACGACATTCTAACTTAACTGCTATTTAGCTATAATAGGAAACCAAAGAATATATAATAGCTTAAAAAGCGATTTGCCTTATAGCTTTTACTAATTAATAACTATATAAATTACTAAAGGTTTATATTAATATTATTAAATAAAAGTTTTAATTATTAAAGGAATCTATTATAAGGGGTAATATAGCTATTCCTACTATACCTACTATTATTCGGCTAAACTCCCTTGCTATAAGCACCACGAAGGTAAAACTAGACCGTTACTTAATTATTATGAAATTTCCTTATCTTTAACTATTTATATAAATATTCCATTACTTCAATCTTTCCACCAACGGATTCCTTATTTAACCCCCATCCAGCCCCGAAATACATACATACAAAGGTTTCATCATAGGAAATAAAAAACAATATAATAAAGGTACCGGTATATATATAAATTATTAAATATTATATAGGAATTTCGTTATAATTTCGTTCGTAAACCGTAGTTAACTATAATGAATTTAAGAATAAAGGGGATTTGTCTTTTCTCCGCAACAAAAGGAAAAGGAAAAGCGAGCCGTTTACTTAAGCTATACAGTCGGAAATTCTTCTCACAACGAAGATTTCTTCATTATTAGGTATTAACGGGATTCTTTTCGGTCAAGGGGAAAACGGCAAGCTATATGCTACAAACCGTACGCCCATAGGAAGGGGTAGGGGATTCTTCCAATTTAACAGGAGAAACGACATTCTAACTCGACCGCTGTTTAGCCGTAGTGGGAAACCAAAGAACGCATAGTAGCTTAAAAAGCGATTCGCCTTACGGCTCTCACCAATTAATAACTATATGGATTGCCAAAGGTTTGTATTAATGTTGTTGAGTAGAAGTTCTAATTACTGAAGGAATCCACTATAAGGGGTAATATAGCCACTCCCACCGTACCTGCCATCACTAGCGCTACTTGAGTCCCCGCATCTTATATTTTAGGCATCCCACATGCCAGGAAATACACTTATTTGATTACCTATCCCCCTTAAACCAAATCAAGATGGCCACCCGAAATCCAATAACCATAGAACAGGTAAACAAAATAACTTCTCCCATCGCTACATGAGAGTCTCACAATATGCTAGCCTGCCACCGATCTATTGGGGACTCGAGAATCGGCAAGGGTTGCTGTCTTTCTAAGAACGAAATCGTCTCTCTATTCATTGACGCATGACCAAGTTGTTCGCAATACGTGCACCTCTCTGGACGTCCCTTATGAAAAAAGTCGACTCATTGCGATACAAAAGTGGCCGAAGTTAGACGTATTGGTCTTCGATATTTTCTATGACAACTACGATCTGAATACTGCGCACCACAAGGTGGATCTCCCAGTATTGCTAGTAGACTACGGCAAGGCAAGCTCCGTCGTCAGAAAAACCAGCCATGAATTCAGTGAGATTGTTAATGTGCACGTCGCAACGCAACACAATTACCACGGCTGGAACGCCAAGCCTCCATACTTCGAGGACCAAGCCGGTCACAATCCGCCCAAGTATGAGAATCCTCGAGATGCCACGATGCTATAAGAGCTAGCATCACATCGAACTTCTATTAAATAACCAGTTCCTGTGCGGCGAAGCCTTTGGTTTGGATAGCAATCTAGCGCTGCTTTGCGTTTGGAGTGCCGGGGCAGCTTTACTTCTAGGCAATAAGGTCGGAGGGGCGGGCTGAAGAATGATTAGCCGTCGGCGGCTCAGCTCCCTGCGGGGTAGTTCGCTTGACTTGCCCAACGAAATTGTAGAGTAGTCCCCTATTCGGTAGTGACTGAGGGCTTTGCGACGCATGTATTGGATCATATCAGCTGAAAACAATTATTTCGCCGCAAAAGCGCAACAAGGTTCGCGAATATACAGATCAATTCTTATGAGTCACGCACCCCGCGTTGCTGGTGTCTCGGGGAGTCCTACAAGTGGCAGAGCTGGGGGTACCTGGGCGCCTAAAGGGGGTCAATCTGAGGTAACTCTAGCCAGAAGTCAAACGAATGGATACGGGCTAGATGTAGGTATGCTTGACTATGACTAATGTAAAACCAATCATCTGTTTACGACTCTTTCGAACCTATTCAATATTGCAGCATACAAGTGCGTGTAGCCGAAGCTGCGAGTTCTTGGCAGTTTCAGATTGGAACCAGTCTATTCTCGGCAATGGTGTCGATCTGGGGCTGTCAATTCCCACCGAAGCTTCACAGTGCCATGCCCGTTTGGATGCTAATGAGCAGTCTAAATACTGCAGGTCAATAGAAGTCAGTAGTTTAGGCATTTTCTCACGATCCTCCGCTGGGTTAAAAGCTATTATAGTCGCCACCTTCTGGCACCTTATATGGTATCTTGCGCAACTTTTATCTAGTCGTAACAATCCTTCAGAGACAGTTACAGTATCTTTGTCAAACTGATTGCTATTTTTGCTGCAGCAGGTGACACCCCGCTTGCTGAACCAATCTAGGGCTGAGATTTACTTGACAAAACCATTTAGGTCAGACGGTAGTGTGCAATGCGCATTCTCGTCTCCATTTCTGAGATGTGGCATCAACCCTACCATTTACTAGATGCGGCTTCTTACCACGATTGACCCAAAGAAGTAGCTCAACAACGCGCTATGCTTTAACAAATCACGTTAAACTACGACAAGTCTTGCTGCCATTCCCCGGGCAATTACTGGCTGCATTCTCATATTCAGTTGATCAATTGCTACTGTCAACTACTTATGTCCTTGGCCTATCCGATTCTATAGGTCTGCCTGTATATACTCTAGTCAAAGCACAATAGGGAATGGCCGTTGAGGTAGGGATTGCCTCAATTACATATTGACCCAACACATGAAATTGGCTGTATCTAGAGAAAGGGCCATCTCTCATGTGACAAGCCGAGATACATCTTTTTAAAGAGGACGGGGGAGCAAATCTTGAATCATAACATTGCTAATATTTTATTACTCAAGATTGATCGTCTTTTGTAAAAGTTCTCGCTCTCACCAACAGCCAAGTAGAGCTCTAGATTCAAAACTCCGGCTTTGGATAACCTAGTGTCATCGAGAAGACTAGGATAGGATAGGAATAATTGCCCACTAGGATCTGGTACCAAAAATAGCTAAGTCATCGGACTAATAGTCCCACAGCTTGACAACGCAGATCTCTCTTCCTAATAAGCGAGAAGTCAGGGATGGACAATGTTGTAAACTCACCTATTTATACTATTTGTGACCCACGTTTATCTAGAGAGATAGTTCAACTCGACCTTGCAATGATACCATCGTGGCTATCAAGCATCATTATTACGAGAAGATGCAACGTTGCTGAGTCGTATCCCGTACTGGAGCTCTCATCAGCTAATCTGTGAACAATACCCGATGCTACGGAAAATGTATGTTATCCCTGGAACACTGCAACTGGCATGCGTTGTGTATTCGATCGAATGATCAAGTTCACACATGAACACTAAACGCCTATAACTAGTTTCTCAGTGACCAACTTCTACAGTAACTACATTTCATGGCCACACCCCAGGTGGAGTTCTCCTAATGCACTCAGATCCTCGAAAGCAATTGTATCTACTCCATAAACACCCGTTCGCAACGTGTTGGCTACCGTTGCGTTGACTATTGTCTTAGGGATAATCCGCGGTCCATCCGTCGATAGGATCGCAATTGCATTGGCGGCAGCACGGGCATTGATAGTGATTGTTTCTTTGTCGGGGTTGTTGATGGTATCACATGCCTGGTGATAACACGGGTCTTGAGCGGGCGCTGTACCGGTGTTTATGAACTGTAACATTCAGATCAGTATATATATCTCTGGGCATCAACCGAGTGGTAACTTACGCCGAACGGCTTGTTCAGTATGCCCCAGAATGATGCGTAATCACTGCCGTTAGTTAGGATGGCAGGAGTAACTTCAAGGCCTTTGCTAGTGTAGTAATCGATATAGATCTGTTCGATAACTTCTGAGCCGGCTGGGCCAATGCTTCCATGTGAGCTTCCGTCTGTATCCCCAACGCCGAAGTAACCCTTTGAAACCATATCAAAATTGAGGTAAGCCAAGATTCGGTTGACTTCAGAGACTTCTAGATTTGAGCAGTAGTATTTTGAGCCAACGAGTCCATTTTCCTCTGCACCCCACCACGCAAAGCGAACTTTGGTCTTTGTGGCGTACTTCAGAACTGCTTTTGATAGTTCCAATAATAATGCGCTACCGGAACCTGTGATAGTCAGATGGCTTATACTTCAGGGTGAGTGCCGAGTCTTACCGTCGTCGTTAATCCCAGCTCCGGCTTGAACACTGTCTAAGTGGGCACCGAGCTAGCCAAGTCAGCACCCGCAACATCGGAAAGAGGTGGATGGAGTGCACATACGACAATAACATTATCTGGATCACCACCATCACTCTCGAGGAATAGGTTTTGGGTGACTCGGTCTTCTACGATTTGATCTTGCTGGAAATAGGCCACAATACTCTCGCCAGCTTGAAGACGGTCCTTCAAAGAAAGGCCATCAGCCTGGTTGATGAATCCGGCTGGGACGAAGTCGGCGCTGGGGGCACTTAGTGTACCAGCAGTCACGTTTGTCTCGACGTTGTTGTACACAATGACGGCCGCCGCACCAGAAGCAGCTGCTGGGCGAACACGACCTGCAAGCGTCCCGCCGGTCGGGCATTGGAACCTGTCAACAATAACAATCTTGCCGCTCACATCGAGGTCGGCGTAGCCATTTGCATTACAACCCAAGGTTCCTTCCGGGCCAAGCACCAACTCGGCAGTGATGCCCTCGGCGGAAGTGGATGGAGAATAGGTCAGTCCATAGACATAGAATGACTCATCATTCAGCTTGAGCTCGATAGATTGAACATAGTTGAAAAGGGCGGGGAAATCCTGTTTCCATGCCTTGGCGCCCTTGATCTTCGAGATTTTCTCCCAGACATAGTCGACAGATGCAGCGTAGCCAGGAAGCCCAAAGGCTCGATTGCCACCATTAGCAGCAGCAATCTTGTCGAGAGCGACCAGATGAGACCAGAGACTGCATCCCGTGTCAGTCAATCCATAAATCACAAACGCATGGGTGTGGGTTTACTTCTTCGTTTTTATTTCGGCTTGTAATTTCTTGGAGCTAATTTTTGGCTTCGGATGGGCTGCTTCAACTGCAATCAGCGGCAAGAGTGCCGAAAGGACCGTCAGAAACCTCATCGTCGTTCACTAACAATTCCCGCCGAGAAGATTAGCAGGCGACACGAGAAACATATCTCAAGAGAATAACCTAGCCAAAGCTACATTGCGGTACTCCTCGAAGCTATATACCCTTTTTTTTTTTGTCGAGGATCCACTCCGATGGCCGAGAGCTCGTCGAAATCACGTCGTTCGTGAAGACCTTACATGATAGGCCCATCACGATCGAGAGGGCTTGGCTTGCATCGAGGACCGAGGGGCTGTTGATGAGATTCAACCGAAAGGGGCAGGTCAAGTATGCCAAGTTGGGGTGCCAACCGGCCAAGGCCAAACAGTCGGGTGCGCCCTGACCGCTGTTACGTGATCGAGCTTGATTCTCTGATAAGAATGCGGGCCAACAAATGATTGGGTATGGAAAAATTCATTGCATTATTTCGTCAATCATTTGGCGCACATCGATGTTATGTGAACAGTTGTTGTCGCTCTGTTTCGTGGCTTAGCCGCCGAGCCGCCTCATATCACGAGCTGTTGATATTAATACTTCGAGTGCACTTCTCCGGAGGCAATCTACTGAAGCATAAGCCTACTAGCTCGCATGATAACATCGTTAAGTACGATACTATCGAGTCATCAACACCTCGTTAGGTGTTCGCGCTTTGATCTGTAAGACCGCAAATCCCTCTCAAATAGACGCCCAGCAGTATGAATGTTGAGAGCACCGAGAACTGTACCTGCTGTGCTTGTTCTTATATAGTATTGCAATGTTGCGCTCCGGGGCCAGCCATCTGCATTTGGTCTATTTCAAAAGTACAAGTCTAAAGACTCTATCTAACTATTTGATCTTAGTTCTTTAATTACAATACATGTTGACACCCTTTTGATTTTTCCCTCGCAGGCTTTATAATCGGTATAATGCCGGCGATGCTGATGAGACAGTTCTTGTAGGCTGGAAGATAGGAAGGCTCTCAAAGAACTCGTTCCATGACGTCTCGTGTACTATAGGGGCTACTGTCGCTCTCAATGGCCGCCTCTGAGTGAGGAATTCCTGGAGAAGTGGGAGTGCTTCCTTCACTGCCTTTACATCGTTTGCAAGAAATTCGTTTCGTTTAAAGCCCTCGGACTGGCAATACCAGCTCAAATCCGATTTGATGCAAGATGATTCGAAAAGTCGCAGAGCTGCTGGCTTCACTTTCCCACTAGCAACAGCTGCCTCATACGCCATCCTATGTCCCGCAGCCTTGACCATATCTCGACAACGTGGCAATAGGTGGGCATTAACTTCCTCACTACGGTAATTGGTGATCCCAAGAGACAGCAGCATCTCATGAGCCTCTTGCCATACGCCGGCCTCGTGTTTCGCAAGGAGACACGTTCTATCCTTGGGTTCAGGGAGTTTGTATCGTCCGAGGAGCACTTCAGATACCAGCCCTACTCAGGATGTTAGTTGACATGGTACCACAATAGAAGCATCGTGCATGGAGATGACTCACGGATACACAAGACAGTATAGTCACCCTCAGCGATGGCATTTCCCCTCAAAGCCATTGCCAATTCAATAATTTCATTATGAGCAAACAGCCCTTGCCAGCCACAACGCTCGGCAAGCTCGTTAATAGTGGTTTGAGTGTCCGTACCGACGGCAGTCTTGAAACAAACCACGATTGCGTGGCGAGCCTCAAAACTAAGCTCGTTGTTTAAGAAGTGGGATATAGCCTCGTCTGCAAATGCATCATATGCCCAGCTTTGAACAATAGCATCAAGAATTGGTCTATGTTGCGTCGAAAACTGAATGATAGGTATGCCTTCTCTCCCGCCGTCTGCCGCGACACGCCTCCTGGAGCTGTAGGTCCCAGCAATCAAGGCACTCAGTTGGAGAGAAGGGATATTACCCATGGAGAGCGATAGTGTTCCTACCGCTACTCTGTGAATCTGGCGGAAGAACTCGGCCCGTTGGTTATCGGCACGGTCCAGTGATCCCAGAAGCGATCCCGCGTTGAGGCACACATGATCAAAAGTAGTAATAGCGTGATCTAAGACTTTGGCGCCACATCGTCTCGGTAGTAGACGCGACGTAATACCCGGCAGCATATCCTTCTCGTCGCTCAGGTTTACGACGAAGGGCTTCACGCCGTGGTCTGCACCGTTCACCATCAACCGTGCAAACACAACACCAACCCGGCCTATACCACCTGCCGGACTCGTTGGTGGCATAGCTTTGGCAGCAGATTCTCTGGGCGTGTGTAAATCGAAAGAGCCGTCTGACTGCAGTGTTGCCGTTGTTTCCAGGTTACGTGCATCCAATCCACGCCCAATCTCAGTTAACAAGAATTCACCACATAGGTCGAACCTGATGAGCTTTTCCAGCAATGGTGCAAGATCTGGTCGGCAATGTGCATACGCCCCAATAGTCCCAATGCACAGATTCCAGTGGATACTCAGAGCAGTTCCCATGGCCGAGTCTCTGCAAAAGATGGCTACGTGCAATGTTTAAGTATAGTGATAGCTTTCCCAGTGTAGAGAAGTTAGGGATCACTTACGATGACGATAGAATTCCCAGAATTTGGGCCCTAGTTTGACCACATCTTCAACTGTTATCCCTGGTGAAAATTAGTACAAGTAAGCCATCAGTCAGTCATATGTTGCGACATACCACTTTTCTGGCAGACAGCCCTTGCTCTCTCGTAGGAAAGGCGTAGCTGCTCAGGCTGGGGAAAGTCAAAGTGGTCGACTCGAGTATCTAAAAGATCGTGACTAAGAAGCTCATCATATTGCGACATTGTGGGCAACAGCACGACAGCTAAGAGATGAGCTTAGAGAAGAACTGAAGATCAATTGAGAACTATTTGCGTCGGACACTCTGGGTAGGTTAACTTGGAAACAGAGAAATCTGCTCGTCAGAGGTCACTGTTATATAAACACGGCAGAGTATAAGCGAATATGTGAGATGAAGATCAGTGCATGCAGGCTCTTCGCCGCAAATGCCCGCTCCGCGCATACAGCTATCGCCACTATGTACAATAAGGACACCAAGAGGCCTCAGACGGTGTTGCATAGCGGAGTGACTCTATCACAAACCTCTCATCGGCTTCTTCACCTTAACATGGCCCGGCAATGGCTAAACTCTCAGGCACAACAAGAGCTGAAGTAATTGGTGTCATGCAGCATTTTGATAGACCATCACATCTCTCAACCCAATTAGGCCGGCAGAGAGTGTGGACTAAGCCACAGTTAGACCAACCGGATACAAAAGCGGCAACAGCTGAATACCACGTCAGAATAGTGTCCCCGCTGCATATCCAGCTCGACGGGGGATGAATGCATTATACCCCACATGAGAAGCATTAGGTCTGGGCGATGCTACAGTGGCATCCCATGAGAAGATTATATTTACTTACACAGTAGTTCATGCAGGGTTGATTGGGACATGTCGTAGGTACTTACCATTGAATAAAGAGAGAGTCGTCATAGGCCACTACATCTAATATCACAAGCGCCCCATGCATACAAAACGTATGGCGTTACCTACTCTCGGTAGTTGGGAGGAAGACCGTATTATATAAAGTGATATACCTACATGTATGTGTCCAGGGGGTTTATCATCACCTACCCATCTTGCTAGTGTAGCAAAATCAAGAGATGCAGATTCTTAGTTCCTGTATCATTTGAGTCTCGGCCGTGATGCCTCCTGCGTTAGTTATCGCATCTAGCAATGTCTGGTGCCTAGAGGAGAGGCTATTGCCCGACTAAGAGATCTGAGGACCAGCATATCCACCCCTCCGGAAGCCGGCAAGACTTAGCTGCATAAGATCCGAAAAAAAAAAAAAATAAGATCTTTAATCGGTTATACCGGGCTCTAGCCAGCATTGGAAAGGTTTACGGATATAATTGACATCTGTCTTGAGACTAGCATGGCAACTCAAGGATATTCTTCACAACCCCTCTTAGCACCGATGTAACATCCTGTGAGGATGTGCATCTTGAAACTTTTATCTCATTGGTTATACCCTCAGCCTTCTATCGAGCTAGTTTTCGTGGCCTTTTTTCTTCTACGATTATCATTACAAATGGAAATGGCTGAGATAATGCGCACTTTGCCTGGTACCACCTGAGAACAAAACAGCTCCTATAGCTTACACTGCCTCACGGCTAGTGAAGTGTTTAAACAGCTCGGTCATGCCGATGGCCATCATATACACGCAGTTACTAGTAGCTTGGGGCAGACGAGCCAAGGAGCGACTAACTTCTAAGAATCACATCTCCGGCACACAGAAATGGCATTCGCACACGCATGAGTCTTCACTTACAACTAATTCTTCATTCAAGATTGAGTTCAAAAAGGGCCAGGTTCAGAGATACACTCAAAGGTACTCGTACTAAAAGGGTGGATTGCAGTTATCAAGGTCCATGTGTTCCTCACCCATATCAAATGTGGGAGTCATAATATTGAGTTCTATGTGTCGCCTTTAACCGCTACATGTGTATGTAAGAAAGTATGACGATTCCAAGCTTAAAAGCTACAAGAATCATAGACCGTGAAAAATGAGACCGTTTCAATCCCCTGAATCTAAGCCCAAGTCGCAGTAAAGAAGAAAACCAAGAGAGTGACAATTTATAGAAAGGACGACCAACTCTTACGTCTCAACCCTGCTGTCTCAGACTTGATGGGTTGGATATTTGTTTCGTCGAGTCGGATTGACCACATGATTCAACAGACCCGATCATGTATTTAATGAAAGTACACCATCTGAGGTAGTCATAATGGACTTCTTCCCTTTGTTGATTCATAACATTGGTGGTGTATAAAGGAATACTTCAAGGAGTGGACGAGGAAGGGGGTTGAGTGGCATAAGTAATCTTATTGCCAATCGCTCCCTGTAGGAGGTTGTATCGTCGAGCCAGTAATGTTCCATTCGGAGGCGGCACAGCGATGGCCAGCATTCCCGTGAGGAGCATTGGTTGCGTTTTCCTCTTCAGGTTTGGAGTGAGCTGCTCCGGGAGCTGCTGGGGAGCTATAATTATTCCGCAGGGTCATTATGTGCCCTTGCTGCCTGGGAACCAGTGCGTATCCGGTATCTTTCTCTGTGGGGGAGACAATCTCTTCTACACGGGGACTGGAACCGTACCTAGAGCTCCGTTGACTTCGGTCGAGTACCAACTCTAGAGCAGTAAATTCAGTATTATAACAATGGAATGGAAGTGTTGAAATACTAGGGCATGAGTGGTATACGGTATGGTATGTTGCCTTAAGGAACAGTCTAGGTACAGTAGTGTAGGAGGGTACCTCCGTTTATATAGACAGATGTAATATGTGGGTCGTTGTTGTTGTTGTTGTTTTATTTTTAACACCCGCGCTGACCTCCCTGGGGGGGTAGGTATTTAGCCCATAATCTTCACTCAATACTAGCGGCAATATAGCCACAATTGGCCATATGCCAACAAGTAGATACCAGAATCATTCGTGGTCACTACGGTCTGATCCGCCAAGCGTATTTCAATCCTATCCAGTAGCCCTTAAACGTTTGCTAAGGGGGTTAACCTCCTCCATTTGGTAAAACCCCTTAGGGAAAACCCGTAGGTAACTTAAACGGGTGCCGCCTTCGCCTCCCGCCTCCAGCCTCCAGCCGTAAAGTTTGTGTATTGTATAGTTATACCTAGCTAAAAGGTTAATTGTCTCTGAATACGTATGTACGTATTGCGGGCCTGTTGTCGACTGGTCGTTGTACCCAGCCACCGGCTTTTTCATGTCCGAGACATAATTCCAACAGGAAGGTATGAAGATTGCTAGGTATAGTCTGTTAAAGATGGATGCCGAAGTTAAGCACTTACCTCTAGACCCATGCACGCGTTTAGTCTCCTGCTCATTCATCTTTTCTAGAATCTTATCCAATGTTTGCCTTTGAGTTGCAGAAAGGTGCAAAACAAGGCTGCTCTTGGCGCGTTCGAGGTTATCTAGGCCTTCGATAATCTTGTTCTCGGTCTTGATGAGACCTCGAACAGTCCACAGGCGGAGAAATATTGGTGTTCTGGGCCGATCACGGACCTTGGACAAGAGTTCGTGTAATTCGTGAAGATGTCCGTGAACAATTCGCAGTGGCCCTTGGAGACTGTCTGGGGACGATGGCTGGGACGATTTGATAAGGTCCAGTATAGTCTGCAGAGATTTTAATTCAGCAGTTCTCTGAAAGGCGTGCGTCAACCCCTCTCTTGCCTCGACGAGGATGTCGTGAATGGCCTGGATGATTAATACAGCAGCTGTTGCGAGCTGGAAAATACTAGCTGCAGCACCGACACCTTCCATGGTTCTAATAAGACCCTTTTATCTTACAATACCGGGTCTCGGGGGGAGAGGAAGAGAGGGGTATCTGAGATATGGTTTCGAAGGCGTCCTGCCCCCTGCCCAGTCCGCCTAACGACAAGGTGGATTTAATCTACAGCCTGCAGCCAGCCGCATGTAATATGTAGTAATCATACGCCCCGTGAAGGTGTTGAGATCCCCCGATTGGCTCTTCAACTGGCCTCTTGGGGGCCAAGAAGCTTCTTTCCATGCTGATCGCTGCTCTGCAGTGCAGCTTGCCGCTGTATGTGTTTAAAACGAGTCGCCGGGAAGATTGGTGAGGTAATTGGTGGGCTCATTCAGTGTTGTTTCATTAGAATGGCATGAGAGCAAGACAAGAGCCCATTATTGGGGAGTTCCCTCGTCACGAGAACGAAAAGGCATGTCAATTGTGCAGCCCGCTAAATGCAAGAGCCTGTAAGCTGATTCCAGTTACCAGTTGTTACAATTCGCGCATGGGGACAGCACTTATGATGCTATCTCGGTGGCTCATGTTGAAATTGAAGAATGTTTTGTTTTGGATGAAAGAAGGACTTGCGGCATCTCAGTACATTCTTAGTTGTTGGACGTCACAGAAATGTAAAAGTAAAGAGGGCAAATCATAGTGTAGCGTCTCAGTCCATTAAAACCAAGTGGTAATATTGTACTTGACATTGTCAAGATGGCGTACGCGAGGCGGAATGCTCATTCAGTGTAGCCGCAGCCATACCGAAAAGCCCAACGGCATCGACATCTCCCCCGCCCCATCAATGGCGGTCTCTGCCTGTTGGCTTATCCCGGTTTCAAGCCACTATCGTTTCAGATCTTCCGTGTCCTACTTCATGTCCTACTTTCTCGTATATACCGGCATTACTTCACTTTCGTTCACACCTTGTTCCCACGTATACATGGTATAGTTGTTGTTTCCATGCATTAAATCATACTCCCTTGTATTGTATTCTCACTGCACCAGCTACACACCATGGTCCAGCCTGTACCCGCAGGGGTCCACCACGAGATATCAGGCAGCCAAATCCAGAGCAAACGCCTTGGGGAAAACCATGATCACGGCAACCGTATTACGAATAACCCCGTCATTTCATCAAGTTTCTTCTCTATCACATGTTTCCCCCTATTGCAGAGACCTGAATCTGTATCGGATACCTCGTTAACTGAGAGGCTTGAGTCAGCTAAGAAGCGACCCGTCAAGACTATCCTCATCATCTCTGTTATCTTAGTTTTAGCGGTGGTAATCACGTTGCCAGTACTGAAAGCTTATGATAAATTGCCTCCCAAAGCGGGAACCCATTCGTGAGTAATCCTAGGCAAGTTTTAGTCTGTTTTATCTTATATATAACCTGTATCTACTGCGCCATTCGCGCTCGCAGAGACTAAAAAAACTTATCCGCGGTCTCAGCATCATCCTAGATAGCTACGCCGCACATAGCTCCAAGAGGGCAGACTTAGTACTCTTTTCCCGGTGTCTAGCTTGTATAACACTAGTTGTATGTCACATCGCGCAATATGTCCTGGTGAATCTTAGATAATTGGGAAACTACGTGGCACATAGGTTCTCTCTTCATTGCATTGAATGCGAGCTAGCGTGCGATTAAGAAACAGGACATAAACTTAATAATAACGAAAAGGAGAAGTCAAGTATTGATAACCATGATCTCATGTATGTAACCAAGCCTAAACGCCACCAATCATAGAGCAAGTGAGTATTATTCTGGGGTATCCTGGGGTATCCGAAATGGTATTAGAACAAAACGCCTCGACTAACTCCCACCTAGCACCAGGCAAAGCTATATCAGGCATACCCATAGACATCACTCTCCATTCGACCTCTTCTTCCTCCCTTTCCTGCTTTTCATCAGATTATCGATGCCATCCTGGACAAAGCCATTGGTATCATCGACGGCTTTTCGTCCGCGGTCTTTGAGATGGTGCTTCTCGGCCTCGTCGCGGATATCCTCGAGCACGTCCTTTCCCACGCTCGTGCCGTGGATCCAGTCCAGCAAGCCCCAGGCGCTGTAGTTTCCTCGTCCATTACCTGCGTAATGCGTCGCCGTCCGCCGCGTGATACCACCCATGACGATCCCCGGGACGACGCTGTATCCGGACATGGACAGCGTCTCCTCGATGGTTGTGAGGAGCGTGAAGAGGAAGTACGTGAGTAAGTGTGGGCGGATGACAAGGGACGGGAGATAGATGGGTAGTAAGCGGCTGAACATGAGTGGTATGGGGTGGTCTGCGTAGAGCATGAGAGCGTAGGGCGCCGCGGCTTTGCGCGAGTGCGCGTACCGAGCGTGGAGATTGGCTATTGGACCCCCGGAATGCAGCATGTAGCGATGGAAGTAGTAGGTGAGGGTTTCGCGCGCCATGTACAGTGTGCTGATGTGCTTGACGATCTGCCAGGGCAAAGGGAGGGTACTGCTCGTCTTGAAGAGCGGGCGATGGAGAAGCGTCGTCGCGGCCATGGAAATACCGCCTTCAAGAGCGGTGAAGAGCGCGAGGTTGAATATAGCGAGAGCTGCTTGTCTGGCGAGTGACGATGCGTTGCGATGTGGTAGTGACCCCGCGCCGTATAGCTTGATTGATTCGGCGAGGCTTGGGACCAGCGAGTCAAAGAATAGGAAGAAGAGTGATGGTACAAGCCAGAAGACTATGCGCAAGGCGAGAGTGCCGATCAGCTCGATCTTGAGCGGCGAGTGCGAGAAGACGAGAGTCGTCCATGTCATGTAGAAGAAGAGCAGGTTCAGTGATGTTGACCAGGATGTCAGCATCGGCGCGGCGAAGTAGCTGACGATGGGAAGCGAGAGGATGACGTCCATTTTGGCAGCTGTGTAGGCAATAATGGAAGCATGAACTTTGCGTCTTCGGCGTAAGTCAGTATATTTGAATCAACTGCGTTTGTGTGTGCGTGTGAATGTTGGTGAGACGAGCGATGAAATTTCGGCGGGGCTCGTTTGCAGATGAACACGACCAAGAAGATAAGTCCAGCGTTACGCAACTACACAAAACCAGGACAATTCTTGATTTTTGCCGAATTGCTGCTTATCTACCCGCCTCGAACGCAGGTGAGCTCAAGCTGTTCTGGTTGGTCGATGACCATGGTTGTGATGATGATGATGATGATGATGATATCGGTGGTGGATTATAGTCAGGAATAGCTATGACGTAGTTGGTCTTGGCAGCCCGGGACCCCTACCCTGGATCTGTCTCCATCCCGGCTCCGGGTTTGCTTGTTTGAGCCCTAGGAACGGGAATCCGACCGACCGACCGAGGCGGGGCTACAGGCAGAGAAGATGCCTACTGTACTACGTATGCCATGATCCAATACAATCAACAGTGAATCCATCAATCAATCAATGAACAAATGGGCGAGGATTTGATATGGTAGAGTGGACGAATGACCATCGAGTCAAGCTGAGGGTAAAGAGAGCTGAGACGTGGGACGGTCTTCATTACACATTCGGTTCGACGTAAAGACAGTACCTACTGATGCGCTTCTAGGTTAGCTACATAAAATCACAAGGTTTACATATACTGTACATATATCACAATGCATCAACGTGGCACTTACTGTAATCTGCTGTAAGTAAGTATGTGTAGGCAGATAGGTATGCCTGTCACGTCGCGTCGGAATTACCAGGCACTGTAGCTCGTGCAGACTCGTGCCAGAGTCGTGTCATGGTCTGTCATGGAGCCCACCAAACCCAGCGGACTCCAGCGGACTGGCCCCCGAACAGACCCGAACACCGTCCGAGCGAGCCCGCCTTGCCTAAAAGAACATGAAGCCATTTCCAGAAAAGTTTGCAGTCCACTTAAGCTGCCAGATTGAGAACTGCCCAAGCAGACCCAAGCCTGGCATCCAAGCCTGGCATCCAATCCCGCTGCAGGGGCTCGCGGGTATTGGTGGAGGCCCCTTCCAATATACAGTGGGACTCTCGCAGACTCCAGTGGACTCTGATGGGCTCTGGTGGCCTAACCAGGGGCTGCCAGGGCACTATGCACTCTATCTGCACCCTATCTGCACCTCTGATGCACTACCGCTGTAGCGTCTATGCAGTGGAAATAAGAGAGACATGTACTCTGCAGGTTCTCTGTCACGAGCTGATAGGACACTTGAAAGACTCTACCTACAAAAGAGGGACCATCACATCACATCTTGTAAACATAAGTGAATTTTCATCTGTCGAAACCTGGATAGCATAAGAATGTAAACCCAGGTCAGGAAGGGCCCCTCAAACAAAGCCAGACATGCTTGAGACCTGGCTCACCACCGTTGATCCTTGACTCAAGTACCTAGAAGTATCGTTCGAATGCTATCTACAGGCATCAGGGGCTATCTTCTAGGGGAAGCGGGGGAAAGATACTTCCAAGGTTGCTTATCAGTAGTGGAGGTACATCCAAGGTACTTGGCAACGTTGATCCAGCTGATCCCGCCCGCTTTTCTACCCCTGTTTCTCATCTCTCTTGTCTCCCTCTAGCAACCCCTAACTTTTTGGGGGGGACTTGCGACGAGACAGGATGGACGAAGAATGCTCGGAAATCCGTAACGACAGCGACGAGACATTCAATTGACGACATTTTTTGCTTTTGAAAAAAAAAAACCACGTCGTCATGTGGTTATAACTGTCTTGTCCGTCGTTTCTACTCTTTCCCGGAAGTCCGCGGTTCTGAAGTTTAGCGTTGGCTATTGCGTCGCATTCGCAATCCTCACGACCCTCCCCTGCTCACGACCACGACCACGACAACGACTATGACCTCGCCCATCACATCCACATCACCTTTCGACTTGTGATAGAGATACGACCTCACCATACTACCATTCCTTGCTTACTCGCATCAATTGTAATAATACCCGTTCCATCCAGGCCCTCAAACACGCGCCCGTCTGCCGCTATTGCCTCCAACACCCCGGCACCACTCCACAGAAGCGATTGGCATTGCATACTTCGTAGTCCACCACCCACCTTATTCATCCATCATCGCATCTATATCGCATCGTCTGCGTCTTTATCCCACCTGGCTAGGTCCGTCGGACGGGTAGCTACTTCATCTATCCCCATCGCATGTCTGCTGCACGCTCCCTTCCTTAGTATCATTAACGGCTTGCATCATTCCTTCCTGGGCCACCAGCTTGCGTTGTCCCAAGGCCAATTTCAATATTTTTATGTAATTTATTCCTACATGCAAAAAGCAAGCAAGCGCGCGTTCGAGACTCGACCAGGAACAAGACGCACCGAGTCCCGCCCGCCCGGCTGCCAGCAGTGTCCCGCCCTCGAGTCGTCTTCGGTAGCATTCCGCAATCATGGAATACTACACCACAGATAGGGGCGCCTCTAGAGGCATCCTCAGCTCCAATTCGGCGTCTAATGCTGGCCTCGGATCTTCATCGCTACCTACTTCGTCAGGTACTCCCGCAGTCGTCCATCCACCCCGTACATCATCACGTCGGAGGCCGATCGATCCTTCCATGCACCTCCAGCTGCGCCGTGACAATAGTGACACCAAGGACCGGCGATCCATCCCACCTGCGTCTCCCGAGGTCATTTCCTCTTTAATCACGAGCCTGTCCGCCATTGCACAGCCCGCATCCAAGCATTTCGACGACCCCAGCCTGTCCATCCCAAGTCCAATCTCGCCCATGGACGGCAGCTTCGGCGTCGAGTACGGTGCCTACATACACGCTCTTGATCGGTTGCAGGAGGAAGACGACCTCGCCGACCTCGCTGCGAGCCCGCCAGTCATTCGCACCTCGAAACCTCCCTCGGGCTTCTCTCCCATCACAGCTCCCAAGTCGCCTCGTCGTGAATCTTCCTCCCTCGGTCTCAAGTCCCTGCTTCGCTCGCGACCTTCGTCCAAGGGATCTGCATCATCGTCACACGACGATACACATAGCATCGGCAATCTGTCCGTTGAACGGGGGTTGCCCGCGCCGCCCGATTTGCGCAAGCCGTCATCGCAGGAGAGCTGGACCACGAAGCTGAGCAGAGGCCATAAGGGTCTTATGTACATGAGCTCGAGAGAACGTCTCCGTGCTAGTGACAGTGAGAAGAAGCGCGCCGGTGCTGGGGGATTGACTTCCAAATCTAGTAACCTCAGTAACTATTCGCCCATGAATGACCAAATCCTCGCCGAAACAACCATCAACGAAGAGCCCACAATACCAGATCTCGACGATAACTCACCTAATAATGGACCTCCACCTGATGCCGTGCATCATCTGCGACCCATCCCTTTACGCGAATCCTCTTTGCGATCGGGACGAAGTACAAGACGATCCTCACGCAAATCGTCTAGGCAACGAAGCGAGGGAGCTACAGCAAAGTTCATCCCTGAAGACCAGATTTCCTCCGAGCCAAAGGCTCAGCAAATACATCGACAACCCTCGGATGCCGAGACGGAGCGACGACACGAAGACATATTAATGAAAGGCATTACGGACCCACCGCGAGACCATTCAACCACGACCCAGGGTTCTCGCGATCCTAATTTTACATATGAGAAGGCGGCTACGGGACAGCAATTGGAGGCACCTGGAATCGACGACGGCGCACCGTCTCCAGCTATCTATCAGAACAGGCGTCATAGTTCTCAAAGCGCCGATCGTAGGAAGTCCGGTCGTGGCACACCAGACCCTACCGCCGACATGATCAAACCCAAGCGAAGCAGCTCTAGACTACAGCGTCTCTCGGTTGGACCTAAGAGTCCCGGGTCTCCTGATAATGCGAAGGATGCGATCATGTCTGATCCCGTTGTCGGCTACGAGCGGCCTGGGAGTGCCGATTCAATCGATGATGCGGTTGAATCCTACCTTTGCTCGACGCGACTGTCTCAGAAAATCCGACATCCTCAGACTGGCCGCATCATTTCCTTCTCCGAGGTAGGAGATCCTAATGGCTCAGCCGTGTTTTGCTGTGTCGGCATGGGCTTGACACGCTATATTACCGCATTCTATGACGAACTTGGCGTAGCTCTGAAATTACGCTTAATCACCCCTGATCGACCTGGAGTCGGAGATAGCGAAGCATACGATGGAACAACGACGCCTCTGAGCTGGCCGGGTACGTGTCCAGGTTTTTTATGATTCTAGCTTTGCTAACAATAACTAGATGATGTGTACGCCATTTGCCAGGCGCTCAAAGTCACAAAATTCTCCATTCTAGCCCACTCAGCCGGCGCCATCTACGCCCTTGCCACTGCGCTGCGAATGCCACAGCATATTCGTGGACGGATTCACTTGCTGGCACCTTGGATTCCACCGTCGCAGATGAATGTGTTTGGGACAACACAGGCACCCCCAACTAACGCCATACCTACGTCACAGAAAATATTACGGGCTCTACCTACCCCTTTTCTCAAAGCTGCAAACAGCTCGTTCATGTCGGCCACAAGCAGCTCAATCACAAGTTCACTCCCCAAAAATAGCCCTCGCCGAGGCAAGCGTAAATCGTCGGCCAATCATGGCCGCGACACGGGAGCATCTAATAAACAAGATGTTGTGTCTGGGGTAGACAAAGAAAACATCCTCGATTCTGACATCACAGCTTCTCTTGGGGACGCCGGGCCATTCGACCGACCTCGTGCAACCAGCAATGACCAGAATCCACAGGATGCAATATTTGCAGCCGCCGCGGATGCATTGGCCGACAAAGAGCGGCAGACCATCTATGACAAGCGACTAACACATGCTATTTGGGATCTGGCTACTACCGGAGCTAATCCCGCCGTCGACTTGCTCGTCTGTCTCGAGCGCCGACACACCATCGGATTCCGCTACGTCGACATCACGCGGCCCGTCGTTATACATCACGGCAGCAGGGATACGCGCGTCCCCGTGGACAATGTCCGATGGCTAGGCAAAGCGATGCGGAGGTGTGAGGTCCGCGTGCTCGAAGGCGAATCCCATGGATTGATGGCGAGTGCCAATGTTATGGGCTCCGTGCTCTCGGAGATTAGCAAAGAGTGGGATGATTGGACGAAACTTACGAATCCTAAGCGCACCACCACCACCGAGGACAGAGGACGAAGTGCACGGACCACTGCTGTGCGGTGAGACAGTGCCTGCCTGTATAATCATGAGAACTCCTCGCAGAACAAGCCTACATCACACGTGTTGGCTTCTTATCTTGTCCAACCAGGCGGTCTTGGTTTCTTACACGATGACACGATGATGGGTTGGGTAGGAAGGTATTACTAAATTATGCATATATGTACCATTTTTTTTTTATTAGATGATAGAGTTAGTTAATGTTTCCCTCTAGGTCAGCCATCATAGCATATCATATAGCGCGGCCTTGATGTAGGTTAATTCATAATGTATAAACATGGATAAACTCACTGTTTTGCGGATGGGTTATAAGAGTTTTTTTCTCCTTGTCTCTTCCCTGCGATTCGATGATGTTGAAGTTCATAGTACTGACTATGGTCTGTACGTGAATACACAGACTCTAAAGGCAGGGGCGAGGTACGTGATCTAGCACCATTGCTGCTACCACCGTACATCCGTTATTTGGTTGACCTGACCTGAACTTTCTGTTCGTTCCCCGGCCGGCTCGGCTCGGCCCGAGAATAACTCAACCTAAGGGGTTAAACGTCGTTAGCCAAGGGGAAACAAAAATCGCGTGGCTTACACTAACCTTTCAGCTGGCAGTAAGCAATGCATTGAAGTGACTTGAAAAGATATCCGATTCGTGAAGTTTTGTGTGTGGCTTGAGCGGGAAGCAAGGAAGGAGGAAAGGAGTTGATTCAACCCTTTTTTTTTGGTTCCGAATTCGCGGGGTTGAATGGGAAGTGAAGGAAGAGATTTTAAAGGAATAGAAAGGATATAAAAGGGAGGTTTTGCTCGCGATGGATAGTCATATTTTGTTTCAACTCGTGGGCTCGATGGTATTATTCAATACTAAGTAAGTAATACATACTCTCCATTATCTATCTACCTCTTCAGTTGCAATCAGAGGTAAACTTGTTGTTACTTTTATTTACGGGAAATATTAGAACAAAATACAACGAACGAAACTAGACAATCATGGAACTTACTATCTCGACTTTACTGTTCCTTGCGTCAGCTACGGCTGTTGGGCGTGTTGCTGGTGTTTCGACGGACGAATGTCCTTGCACTAATCCCGTGCTCGGCACATATTGTGGGGATACGAGCCCTTATTGGACGCCGTGTGAGAGGAATTGCGAGAGTTTGGTTAGCATTTACTCTTTCTTTTGTTTTTCTCTTTCGCTTTCTCTCTTATATATGTATACTCTCTCTGTGTGTCGTTGTTATCTATCTCTGGATAGAATGGGTGGATGTGATATTGGCACGACGATATGTAATTTGTTCTTGTGGTTTTGCCATGTCGTTGCATTGAATTGGGTCATACTTAATTTGCTTGATAACTTACCTACCTCAATGATTAGGTTCAGTGTATCGGATACGAATGGGTCTTTGCCGGGTTCTGGCCTGGTTGCGGCGGGGTCCCTTTCCCATATTATCCAAATCCTATTCCGCAGTTCCGCATCGATCCTGTGGTGTATCAGGGTAATGGCACCCAAGGCTGTTATTGAAGCATCACTTGGACTGTCTTCCTTTTCTTTTGCTGGAGAGTTGACGGTCTAGCGCTGGTTACTTTGTTATATAAGCGCCTTGATAGTATTCGGGTAGGACATTTAAATAGCAATTTACATTGCTGATTTTGTTGATGATTAAGTATCTGTTCTTGTTGGGATATTGAAATAGAAGAAAAAAAAAAGAGAATAAGGATGCCTATGTGTGTACTTGTGAAGGCATTTAGCCCTTTTCGTGCTACAAGGCTACCTGAGAACTTGAGAGACTGTTATAGTGCTATATAGTTGATGTAGACACGCAAGGTCTCGACCTTATAACGTCGTTTCTATCTTTTGGATAACGTAGCGGTTTAGTATACACTCCTATTCTGTTCCATGACAGAGACTGACACAATGATACCTGCCCATAGATTCAATGGTCGAATTTTGAAAGTGTCCTTAGTTCCTTGATAGTACTTAACCTTGCACTTATTTGGAATACGAAACCGACGACGAGGTTGCTTTTATCATGCTCAAGTACAAATTTCATTAATACGATTTTGTCTCCTCAGAAGCCGAATAGGCAATCAGACAAAAGTGTTATGACTTGTTGTGACGAATGATGATCGCGTACGACAACGCAAAACACCATGCTAAGGACACTTTCGTGTTACTCCCGCATGGATACACCAGTCGTGTCACATAGGTATTGCTATCATCCCGTCCGGATATAGAGATCTGAATTCATCTAAGTAATGCCTTGGGTATTTATAGAGAGATTGCTTTAACTAGTTATACTTTATTGTAAATGGGCGCAATCGTTACTCACAACGGCTTACACCTAACTAATAGTGATGTCGAGGAAATAATCAAACTCGGTTTCGCAACCTCTTTCTTTTAATAAAAGCTTCCTGATCTAAGTTATCAATGACGCTTGGTTACATTCGGGGCTGTGAGCCGAGACCCCTGCCGTAAGCCCTACACACATGGAAGGCTAGGCGACCCATTCCAAGAGCTTCTAAAGAGACTGAATGCAGATCTCCCGACGCGGGAGCCGTCAATAAATCAACGCTCGACTCGCCTGGTGATTAGCAGACGAAGGTAGACTAGCTCCTGTTGATGCGGACTGGGAGGGCTGAACGGATGCTTTCACACTCCTAACATACATGGCGGTTCATCTCGTCATTTGGCATGAGTGCCAACGGCATCGTGGCGCAGACACATCGTGCTGGTCAATAAATATCAAGTAATGACAAGAAGTTTAGTGAGTAGCAAATGCGCTTGCATATGCTCTGTCAGAACTACTGCACAGCCTGGGATCCCGTATATTGGAGTATGACATGCCACTGGCTTCTGATTTGTGCAGAACTGTTAAATTGTCATTAGTCCGACCATCAAACAGTAAGCGGGACCTTCATTTGCGAAACCGAGATCTTCGGTATCGGTTTCGACCACGTTTTTACCTTGCAGCACTTAATACTTGCCGTATAATTACCTGGTACTAGTGCTCACTCTACGAATTGAACTCAATTGGACCCAACGCTCCATATAGACTACTAAAGAGTAAGAAGGAAACCCCTGACAGTACCCTGAGTTATCAGGTGTACCCCAGAATCCTGCTGTATAGCTTGTGCCTCGGTTAGCTTGCTCACCACAGCCAGGATCGTTCGTCATTAGATTGGAAGCCAAGGATGGATTCGAGATGTATGGTCTATCTCAAATATCTACATCTTGGCAGTCATCGTGACGAAGAAATCTAAGTTATGACACTACGTCTCAAGAGGATATATAAAGGAATCGATAGCACCCATTTACAATGTGAAAACATGAGCTTCAACGCGACTAACAAGGACAACTCGCCTTTCGCTCGACGACTACTTCTTGACGGATTGCCCAGTATCGACGCTAGTCAGCCATCATCAGCACAAGAGCGACAATGGCACTCAAGAATGTCCTCCTTCTGCTCACGGCTGGCCTCGGCGCCCTCGCCAGTCCGGTGAAGAAGACGCCCACAGAGCTTAATGTGAAAGTAATCGAAGGCTCGTCGAAAGACCTCTCAGCGCTCGAGTTGCCCCAAGCGAATAAAGCCATCCTGCTATTCCGGAGCCGTCTAGGCGAAGACGCGACACACTCGCTCATCGCGGACGACGTCGCAGCCGCAGACGTCTACTGGCACGACGCGCTGTCGGCCTCGAAAACCGGCAAGTTCGTCGGCGGGTCGATGCGCGCACGCGGCTACGCGCCGAAACACATCTTCAACGCAACGACCGTTGCCCTCTGGTTCTACTTCGGCGGCACCGGCTGGCCGAACGATTTCCTGCAGTCCAGCCCGGAGCACTACCTCAGCTTATCCGGCGCCGGCCTGCGCGATCCCAAGGCCAACGTCGAGTCCATCGAGAACTGGGGGCCCGGCCCGATCACGTATTTCAAGGGCATTCCCGAGACGACGCCGGATTTCATCCCCGCTCTCCCGGAGTTCCCGGACACATACAAGAGCTCGAACGCGCTGACCCTTGCGGATGGGACGGTGTTCGCGCACTCGATTACGGCTTTCCGGGACTTGCCTGGGGGCGTGGGCGTCGAGATTTACTCGGGTATCTGGATCCCTGATAGTGCGCCGTGTGAGGTGGTTGAGGGCGTGAGGGCGCATGTCACGGTTGAATTCGCGAATTGGTTGAAGCTTGCTTATAAGAAGGCTATTGCGGCGAAGTAATCTTGGTTAGATTGGACCGTTGGTTCGATGTGTTGCTTATGTATTATTACCTATGTAAGAGAGTAAGATGATCAGATGAATAGTAATAACAGCGCATGTCTCCCGGTGCGCTGTCTTCTTAACCTATGGCTGGTTCGTTGATACGTGTGAGAATTGAGCGACTTCATTCACACATAATTCTAAATGACAATCAACTGACCTCAGTCAGCCAACTCGATTTTATTTTGATTCATCGCTTTCTTCGCCCTCATTCCGATTAGAGAGAGAGAGAATACCGGGCCGCGCGGAAGCATCCGAAAATGAAGAGAGATCCTAGGTTGCATCCTAGCGTCATCGCTCTCGCTCGGTCCCGAGTCGATTGCATCATGGCCAAGAACATCTGATATTCGGCCGGACGTTCTCAATGATACCTCCTCACCTACCCGTCGAGATAGAAAATCCACATGGACTACCTATGTCCGTCCGCCGGATGAAAATGAAGGGCTTACTAATAATTGTGTCAAGACTTACAAGACTCGAAACTTAAAACTCACGTCTGCTCGTCTCCCACTCATCTATCTATCTTACTTCCAACCAACATCTCACGGTGATTGATTACAATCCATGATAGCGCTGGGAGCGCGTAGTATATACATACTTACTTGTACATCCATCCATCAATGTAAGAAAGAAAAGGAAAGAAAGGGGGAAAAAAGGTATCAAAACACACAATGTCCGACCGGAAGAAACCCTTCGACCTAATCCGCCGCGGCGAGAAGAACAAAACACTATCAGGCACCCTAACCTTCGTCGGTCTACGTCTCGCCGACATCCCACTCCAATACGCACTCCTCTCACACCCATCTCCATCATCACCGGTCTCAGGGCTCGGCGTGCGACTCCTCACCTCTCTCGGTTTCCGGACCATCTTCACCCACACAACGGCATCACTCCCGTCATCCCTGCTCCTCCCCATCGCAAGTCTAACCTCATCCTCCGCGTCCCCCGGTCCAGCAAAATGGAACACACTAGGCTGGATGGCGCCCCTCGCTAATCTCACGCCCACATCCCTCCTCCTCCTCCTCATGAGCGCAGGGAGCTCCGCAAAGCAAATCTACTGGCAAACCGCCACGTCGCAGGAATCCTTCCCGCCGTCCGCCGCCGCCGCAGTAAGCGCTTTCAACACCTTCGTGAACTCCGCGAACGGGCTCTTGTTTCTCGCGCTGGGCACCACGTCGTTACTTTCCTTCCCGCGGATTGCCTTCCCCGCGGGCGGTGTCGCGACGCAGGGCTTCGCAATACCAGTAAGCACCGTCGTCGGCACGCTCTTGTATATCTCCGGCATGGCCATCGAGACGCTTTCCGAGCGTCAGCGCGCGGAGTTCAAGTCTCGCGCCGAGAATCGAGGGAAAGTGTGCAAGGAGGGGCTGTGGAGCTGGGCGCGACACGTGAATTACTTCGGCTATGCCCTCTGGCGAGGCGGGTATTGCATGGTGGGCTGTGGATGGATCGGCGGCGTGCTGATGGGGTTGTTTCAGGGCTGGGATCTGAGTTCGCGCGCGGTTGCTGTGCAGGATGAGTATTGCTCGGCGAAGTACGGGGAGCAGTGGTCGCAGTTCAAGAGAGATGTTCCTTATCGTATTGTTCCGGGTGTTTATTAGGGAAAAAAAAAAGAACAGAAAAAAAAAAAAGTGTTTGTATATACTACAATGCTGTGTAATGAGGTCTGGAGTCGTATGTTCGGCGTGAGTAGTGAAAGGGAAAGACGGACGACGAATCAGCTCACCACAGGGCATCGTTCATCAAGGATAGCAAAATAGGGCGTCAAAAAGGTGTTGTATGGCACTCAGGTCGACGATGCATCACCGGCCTTCTAGTTTTCGTAAACCGAGTACAGAAGACGAGTTTCAGAAATTCGAGTCTGACTCTAATATACACATGACTATACCAATACCAAGTCCCTCGTGCCATTTTCACGCCTCTCTCCTTACACTTTTCTAAAGTGGGCACAGCTGAATGCAATTCCTTTCAATTCATCCTTTGCTACCTTATCCGGTTACCTATATCACATAGCCAACTACTCCTACCTAGGTTTCATACGAGATAAAAACTCCCCTCCCTCCCACCTTAGAGCGATCAGGATCCTCCGTAGAAACGCCATATTCGATACATGTGGGCTTGAACCGCCCGTTAAAGCCGGGTCAAACACTGATTGATTGATTGATGCTGGATGATTGAAACGTGAGAAGGAAAAACAGCGTTATTCTAGTTGCCCTGTGCCTTCTATATCGGTCTGACAGGAAGGTCGGTGAAGTGGAGATTCTTAGTCCACCGCGGTAACTTCCGATATTTTTCATAGGATTGGCCACAGTTGGCGCATAGTGACTATGAATTATCATTAGTAATGGAGAAAAAGTTAGTTTGGATGAACAGCTTCTACTTACCCTAGGGCCATATGGACCGTCACGAACAGCCCATACGCCAGTACCCCAGATACGGCAGTGAGTACACCGCCAGTTAAACCTCTCTTGGTCCGTTAGTGAACCGACGCCGCCGCCCCCATACCCAACGTCAGGTGTTCCTCGACCACCCGGTGTGCCCGAACGTCCCAGAGGGCTCAGACTTCGAAACCTCCGCTTCTTCTTGGACCTTTCACCCCGCCCCATGCGTTCCTCCTCCACCTCGACCCCTATGCCAAAGGGGATACCACCCACCATACCAGCGTTACTACTAAACCGGGCCGTCTCGCGACGTAGACGACGAATCTGCCTTTCTCTATCCACTTCCCGTTTTTCGATTTCTTCCTTGGAGAGAGTTTCGATCTTGGGCTCCCAGCTATCTGCAAGCTGCTCCGGGTCGTAACGCCAGCCGGCATCGGCGCCATGGGCGGCATCGTTTGGTTGCTCGGCGCCCATAGCACCCCAGCCAGCCACCAAGCCTCCGGCCTCGCAAGCCTCTTTCTTGAGCCGCAGCACTGCTTCGTAAATAGCATGCGTCAAGGCAGGAACCCATTCACCCCATAGACCTAGATCGGCGCAAGTCACTTTGGCAAAGGCCTCGGCAGTCCCGGGCGGGTGTAACAGTGACCATTCAAATTTATCCGTGTACACTTCGGACGAGAGGTTTATGTTCAAAGTGACAATGCACCGGTATGTATCATCAGGGTTATAGTCTTCAGAATCTGCAGGGATGGGAGTGGCGGTCGCCGTCACGTCCTGAAGCTGTGATGGGACAACCTTGGAGGGGGTGTCGAGAGCGTACCGCATAGGCGTCTCTGGGCCCCGACTTGACTGGGGCAGAGGCGTGGCGGGCGTGGCAGATTTGTCACGGTATGTCAACTGCGGTGCGTGCGCAGATGTTCCATTAGGGGCGTTTCCATTGACGACAGTTTCATTCGTGGGTGTCCTGTCACCGGAATGGAAGAGGGGATGGAGTGCGACACCAGCGTACTCTTCCAGTTGTGTCCGAATCTGCTTGCTGATCTCGCTCGCAATGGCATTCTGATTAGGTAGGTCTAGGTCTTGGACAAGCCCCAGGGCAAACTGGTCGGTCGTGATAACCGTCTCATGTAAATTCCAGAGGAAAATATCCCTCAACTTGTAAGGGACCGTCATCTCGCCCGGCTTGTAGATGAAGTGGTCGTTGATGGGTGGCTGGGTGACGCCTCTCGGCAAGGGGAATGAGGCGGTAGGGATGAAGGCAGGTATGTCGACGTCGATGCGAATAGGGATCAGGGTGACGGGCATGGCGGCCTGGGCCTGGGCGCTGATGTCGGCGCTGCCCTTGGTCTTGGTCATCCAGTCTCTCCAGATGCCCTGTAGATGTACGGGCACGTTGGTGTCCTTGCCGACCTTGTCACCGGCATCTGCCCTCGAGGCACTGTCCTCACGGCGCAGACTGCGCAGACCTGTGGGCCGCCTACGGTTGTCGTCATCATCATCGTCATCGTAGTCATAGCCATCCTCGGCGTAGTTGATGACGGTGGTGCCACGCTTCGTGGTGCGCGCGACGGGGCCGGGCGCGGTGGACTGGAGGACGGGGGTTAGCAGCGAGTTGTTGTAGGTGCGCAGACGCGGCGCATAGCTGGACGAGAGAGCCTGGGGGAGACTTCGGCCTTCCATGTCGACTAGGGGTGGTTGGGTGTGATGAGTGGTGCTTGTGTGAATCAATTGCCTTCTGCTCTCTCTTTCTCTTTCTCGTTCTCGTTCTCGTTCTCCCCCTCTCTTATCTCATGTTCAGATGCGTGCAACAGGAACGGGAGAACGAATGGTGTCGACGAAGGGGTCGCGCCAGGCTGCAGTTAACTAGATTCCACACCAAACGCAGGCATGCTCATCTCCCTCGGTATTTGGCGGCGCTGTGAGTAGTGCAGATTCCAATTCCAATGCCAGATGTGCAATGTCAATGCCAGATATTGAATGCGCTAGACTACGGCGGCGGCGGCGGCGGCGGCGTTAGCGATTGGGGCGGACAACCGCGTCGAATGGTCGGGTTTTCGGGGTGTCGGGAAAGAGAAGAGTCGGCGGAGGGTCGAATGGAAGATGATTGATGCTATGACGGCCGACAAATCGTGATCGAAAGGGATATGGTCTTGTGGTGGCTTGTTTTGTTCTTGATGGTCGTGTTCTTGGGCGTGGCAGACAACCGCAGTTCGCGTCCCGAGTCTGAAATTTCCCTGTACACTCACTCACAACCAACAGGCACGCCAGGTACATCGGTACTTGCTAGGCCAAAGTACTTGCAAGTACCTTGACAGGTACACATATGTACCTTACAGCTGCGGATAAGCTAGATGAATATCCGGTTAGCGCCTCTGCATCAATCTCTTTTCTATTGGCTCTATCAGCTACAGTGGGTACGAGCTGGGGCACTTGAGCCCCCCTTGTAGGTAGCACGAAGTACCTTCCTATAGCTATCTTCTACTATGATAGCCTGTGCAGGCCTGTGATAGTGAGAGCTGGCAGGAACTGTACAGAACTGTAGGCGTGATGGGGAGGAAGCAAGGGAGCGCCTAGCGCGGACAAGCTTCGGTACTCCCACCCTAGCAAGATAGAGGTACCAGGTTGTAGCCGCCTGTGTACCGTCACTCTAAAACTCAATAGCATTATATTGCCTTATATAGCGATATCAGCCATTGCAAATCCCCTCCTACCTACCTGATAAAAGCATCTCCAACACACGGGGGAAGCTCCAAGGAGTCGAAATAATACATCGAATAATACATCGAAATAATAGATACGCCAGCTTCAAAAGCTAGGATTAGGTATGTACAGTTACTATACTAGGTAGGCATACTCGCAGGGAAGACAGAAGAGCTCGAAATATACTCATTAAAAGGTTATATATGAGAGGTAGGTATATGTATCCATAGCTTAAGTAGTTAGTTATCCAATGTTGTCTACTCCAATCATCCTCACTCTCTGAGCTATCTTGGACAAATATAAGTAATGCCAATGAAGGTCCTTTTTCGTGTACAGACCGAGCAGTATCATGATGCTCATCTACATTTCACACGCCGGCATGTCACCTATATAATCGGCATCCAGGCTTGCTAGATCCATGAACATACCTCAATATGAGTCTTTCCCGAGCCATAGAATGCAAGCGCAGGTGATTCCCCATGCCATGCTAGTAGCCAACGGGCTAGAGTTACGACATGAGCTGTGAAAATACGGCCCATACGCGGTCCGTCATCGGTCCATGCATCAGTCATCGTTCCGACTTTACCATCCCGCATCCGTGATGGCCTCAGCATAGCAATTATAGCTTATATAAAAGCTCATAGACCTGCGAGCAAGGTTACACGTCGCTGCATATTCATTCACCTTGCTTGGTAATGGTGTGATGAGAAATCAATCGCATGTTGCGCCCTTTGCTTTACATCCATCCATCCTGCCTTGTACGCACACCTATGCTCAGCCATCAAGCCTCTATACATACTCTATATATCCAGCATATACGAGCATATATATGTGTTTGATAGAAATACATTGAAGTAAAGACGTCAATTGACAATTTACTCTCTTTCGCTTACACGACAACATCATCTAGAGCGATCATAATGGCAAACGAAAACAGCCCCGAACCAAGCTATACGCTTTACGTGTACTATACACGATACTCGAGTGCGTCTCTTTCTTCTCTGCTGATAGTACAATTCCCGTTGTGTGCCCGATCATTGGCGCTTGAAAAATCCAATGTAGGTAAGTAGTCAGTCATATACTGAACACGGCTCCAGGCTGGGGAGTCCGCGCACAGCTCATCCTCGAATACTTCAACATCCCCTACAAGGTCCAATACTTCAACTACACCATTCCCGCCCTGACTCCTCCCCACGAGCTCACGACTCTCCCCGTTCTCGATGTGTCCCCAGCTCCCGGCGCCATCGCCTCCTCGTCAGAGGAAGAAAGTCCTCTCCGTATCCCCGACTCCCTCGCCATCGCAGAGTTCCTAGCAGACCAGCACCCCGAGAAAAACCTCTGGCCCGCAGACCCGCAGCTGCGCGCCCTCGCGCGCGTCGCCGCTGCCCAAATGCATTCCGGCTTCGCCGCGCTGCGAGACGCCTATCCCTCGAACTTCGTCTCGCGCTTCACCGGGCCCGGGATACCCTTCCCCGAAGCCGTGGCGAAAGATGTGGCGAAGCTCCTCGCGCTGTGGCATCGCGTGCGCGTGGCCTCCAGTAAACGACTTCGAGAGCTCGGCGAGACTGATCAGGGGTTTCTTTGTGGCGGGTTTAGCATTGCTGATGCTTTCTTTTGGCCTGTGCTTTGGGTGAGTTACTTGCCTTCCTCGTCATTCTATGAGAAAATGTGTATGATTATGTGATGTGAAGAGGATTCTGATTGTTGCATAGCGTCTGAGGAGCTACAATGTGCCGCTCGCGGGCAGTACTGATGAAGCTAGGAAGTGGATGGCGACTATGTGGAATCATCCTGTCATGAAGGCACAAGGGAAGGAGTACTTCCGCCAGGCGAGGGATTCGCAGTCGCACTTTGGAGTGTATGATGATTTGTTCAAGGCGACATCTGATGTCACCTCGGGGACCTTTTCTGAGGACTGGGTTTTCGATGGGGATATTGCTTAATATCTAAGCTATCCCCAAGGAGGAAGAACAAAAGTAAATGTATCAGAATGAGTAAGGATTGGGAGAGTTTCGTATCGTATATTTGAGCTTTTCCTGTGATCTAATAACTTTGAAACTGGGCAAAGAATTGTGGCTTCTATTATTCTGGCCACGTTGTGACCCTCCGTTCTGACCCTCTCACTAAGTATACTATAAATATATATTGTGAATAGACAATGTTTTCTGAGCACGTTAACGAGGTAGAGCCGCAATCAATTCACTGTGCCCATTCTACGTGGCGCGGCGCATCACGAGCTGGACCTCTCTCAACGCTGATCTGTCTCAAAACTATATTTATCCCAGCTTCAGGGGATCATTTGATTCTTTTCCAGTCGAACTATATTACTTGCTGTTGTTTATTTATTTCACTCACTACCTGACGAGGCTCTACTATCTCGTTGGGTCGCTGCATAGTTGTTTATATTACCTATAGGGGGTTCCTTTCCATGATCCCCCACGCCTTTCATACGCAGCCATCCCAGGTAGTGTTGCACCTGAAAGAGAACTGCACACACGGGATGCGGCGTGCATCTCCGTATCACTACATGTACACATGTACGGATTATATGTAGGCTGTCACAGCCTACCGTAAATCCTCTCTGGTAGTAAAATCAAACATGGCTGCCGAGGTGCTTGCTTGCAACTCTCTTTCCGGCTAAAGTGTTATTCTAGATAGGAAAAACAACTTTGGGGCTCTTTCTAAAAAAAGAAAGAGAGAAAAAGAAAACAAGATAAAGATTGCAACTCAACGAAGCCTATTAATCCGTTGGTTTGTGCGACTCGAGGTATACAGACATGGAAAGTGGGGGTTAAATTCTAACTCCTATCAAAGTCGATCGTCTCCCCGCCGCCCCTCCCCCCCCCAAAAAAAAACCCTGATTGAATCTTTATATAGACGCCATTTTACATTATTCCCACTTAATGTCTGGTTTTCCCACGCCCAGATCTTTGCAAAGTCAATATAAAGCAGCTTTACCTGTATCAGGAGTATGTGGTGTTCGGTTTGGAGTCCCCACTGGTATGATTTAGGGAGCAAGATAAATTGAGCCCATCACCTCGTAGATTCGCTGCCAGTGTCCAGGTACTTCATGGCCGTTCATAGGCTCGCAACGCTGATCAGATACGACGCAGAGTGATATTCGAGGGGGGGGAGATGGGTAAAGTGACAATGTCTGTCACCCACTCTAGGTGTATACTGCGCAGCCTGCCTAAAATACCAGCTCTATTAGTATTGTAGCCAACAGAGTATTCGACAATAATCAAGTCAAGAATGTAACCCCCCATTCATAGAACACTGCTAAGAATAGCCGGTACATATCTCATAGACATCTCCCGTGATAAATATATGCTACGCCGACGTCCTTGTGTCTTCAAGCTCTCTCATCCGACTGCAGTTGAATTATTCTACCCCTGTCGTTGAACATGGCGGAAGGTGTGACAGCTCAAGCGAGATTGGCTGTCGCCATTGTCGGTCTTGTTATTGCCTTATCATCCACCGCTCTACGCTTCTGGTTCAAATTATCGCTTAAGAAAGGCTTCCAGGCAGATGACGGATGGGCACTGCTGGGGATCCTGGCCTATATCGCGGGGACAACTGCGGATATCTGGGGTGAGTACCATATGCCTTTAACCTTGAAGCAAACTAACATGCTCAGGTCTTTTCAATGGAGATACAAGCAAGCAAATCATCGATATTGTCGCGGAGCTTCTAAAGAATCCTACCCCAGCGAAAGTGAAGACACTTGAAAACTACTTGAAGGTAGCCATCGCCTCCCTTAATAGTTTCCGTCTTAGTTGAAACTCATTTCATGTCTAATCCTCATAGTTAGGCTCTATTCATCGGTTATTACATTGCTCCATTCGGACTTACAAGCGCCAGGCTCTCTCTGATTCTGCTGTACCGGCAGATCTTCGCCACACCAAAATACCGGGTAGCCTGCACCATCGCCATCATGATTAGCGCGTTATGGTGGGTTTCTGCTGTGGTAGTGAACTCGATATTGTGCATACCAATCAGCAAGCTCTGGAAGCGTCTAGAGCCTGGACATTGTTTGAACTTCAACCTGTACTTTCTTGTCATCGGTATCTTGGAAACGACGATTGATTTATATATCCTTGCCATACCAATAAATGCCATCTCTACTTTGCACATGCAATTCAAGATGAAATTGATTGCATCCACCATCTTTCTTCTGGGAACCTTGTAAGTGTCTACCTCACAGGAATTGATGATCCTTGAGACTAATCTTAAAAGCACAATCGTCACCAATATCCTCCGTATGAAGTACATTTACTCGCCCAGCGGCGGCATTGACGGTAAACTTCTCCGAAGAGACCAGAATGGCTAGATGCAGCGCGTTGACGAAGAAGCAGTCTCCTTGAGCGCTTCCACAGTATGGACCCATGCTCATTGCGCCACGGCGGTTTTGTGTGCCAATCTTCCTGTGTACAAGCCCCTTGGGACTATGCTCTCCAACCTCTACGGGGTAATGTCTAGCTTCATTGATTCGCCCTTGCGCTTCATTGGGAAATACACCAGCAAGAAAACGATTAGTGCAAGCAAGAATCTCGGTGATAACTTACAAATAATCGGCGATCCACCCAAGCCCTCACACGGGCCAGGTTTCTATACAGACGAACTGAACAGCAATATAATCACTGATTCATCATGAGGGGATTACGCCTTCGACGACAGGGAGACCAGGTGACTCTTCGCTAGGCCTAGTGAATATGCTGATCCAGGGAATTATAAAGACGCAAGATATTGAGATATGTGGACTCTGTAGTCCAGAGACTAGATGCTTGATTATATTTTCTACGGCTCGAGGTTGAGTAGTCTGCCAATGTATGCTACTACCAGTACTCGCTGTCCTACATGCCCGCAAATGTCCAGCCCCCCGATCTTGAAAGCTAAATTCCCCTCTATTGCTACCCATTGATTGGATCATGAGAGAAAAAGAAGTTGAGTTCTCGTAAGAGTAGGGCTAGCAGTGCAGTCAATCCACACCAAACGTGCAGTTGCTGGGCCACTGGTACATGGATGCCGTCAAATTTTTGATAGGACAATATAACGTCACGCTCATTTAGCTACATAATGATACTCTTTAATTCCCCCTTACTTATACTTTTAACCTTCTTTTATGTTGAGTTTGAAAGGGTATATTTCATTAACCACATATTAGACACTCCCATCCCTATCTTTTTCGTAATGAATCTAGATGAGCATGGCAGCAGCTGAATAACAAGAATAGTGATCTGCAACTTCGGAAATAGACAGTCGTATCGTCCCAAGATAAAGAGCTTGATTTGAGGCACCAAGCAGATCTATGAGTACGTGTGTTAGGGTAAGAAACTTTAGAGTGATTGCATACACATCATATCAGACTAGCTATCACCCAACCTTGATCAATTCAAACTAAATCGGTCACAAGGATATTCGACTCTAAGCCGGACGTTGATGGACTACCGACGCTATCTTGCAAGCGACAGTGTTGCCACTCACACTAGCACTCATTCCATTGATGGAGTACACTGTCGCTCTGTTGTAGTTCTCAGGCTTCTTTTTGCACCAGCTCGAATTACTGCTTCCCGGCACTCGTCTGATGCTAGATTAGGACCAAAATACCAAAGCGCGCTCGTAAATAGAGAAATATCACTGCATTACGTCGTATCCAAGACCACAAAAGCGCTGTTGTTTCTCTATAACCCAAACAGCTCCTTCAAAACCAACACTCCTCTCGTCAATGCATCCATGGCTACAACTCCATAGCCACCCGCACCAGCACTTTGAAGGAAAGCGAACAAGGAACCGGGTGCTATCGGGCCCAAGATCGACTGCGCAGCGGCAGCAGCGGTACCTACGCACTCTAATAAGATAGTGACGGGAGGCAAGAGTTGATCACACCTACCTTGTCCAATGCCTGCCGCTCCAAAGCCCAGGAAGTTCAACACTGGTCCCCAGAGGAGTCCAGGCACTACTACGACTCCAATCCTAGTAACGTCCCATACAGCTGCGAGGATCGTCTCAACGGGATTTCTCTGAAGATTTTCCCGTGCTTGTGCGGCCCATTCTCCAGCACCTCTAGCAATGGCTCTCCCTGCACTCGCCGTATCTTTCATGGCAATGCCGAGGTGAAATTCGGGCGCCTCAAATATTGTCGGCCAGCGTGGTCCCGGGGCGTCTTCTTTAGGCTTGAGAGCTGCCTCGATGTCTTTCTTAGCAATGTTTAGGTGGAATTCAGGTGCTTCGAAGAATGAGGGCCAGCGCGGGCCCGAAACTCCTGGGGGGAGATTCGCAGCGCATTTTGTGAGATACAGAGCGAGACCCAAGTATAACAACGCTATACGAACTACGAGAGTCATTATGTCGGATTATGATGCTTGTTACGGTTGATACGCAAAAGCTGACTCCTGCGGTCCAGTATGTAGTTAAGTCATTTGGAATGGCTGTCGGAACGGAGCTTAAACCCCTCTCAAGTCAATCAATTAGGATACTGAAAAGGCCAAGGTCGAGGCAGGAATCAACGTATAATAAATGGCTGCCGTGATGTGTAACGACCTTGTCAACGATCTTGTTTGAGAGTGAAGCTGGGTGGGTGAGGTCGCTGCCTAAATGTTGTTTACTGCTGGATGCATTCGGGTGCTTCCAGCTGTTGCTCAGCTGTTAGCAGTATTGTCTGCTGATTGTCCCGATGTGACGCTGTCTCTGGTGCCGTTGGTGCCCCTCCGACACCGATGAATTGACATGGTGCGCGCATGAGGCTTATATGCCGGGGCGAGGGTTGATATGGCTATAAGCACAAAAGCTGGCTATGATAGGAAGTACTCGAGGAAAACGACATGCAAAGAATCAATAATACGGCTTCAATAACTGGCGCGCTTCATCGTGGGTGCGTTGTACCTTGGACAATTCGTTTATGAGGCGATAGGTATCGTTCTTCTTTTATCACGTTGCTTAATGTTACCAGGAATCCTTCGCTGGGGCCGTCTGGTAGTCTGAGCCACAAGGTATGCGGAACGAAGCTCTACATCCACAGACCGGGGATACCAGGCATCGAGAGATCCGTGACCACATCATCACTATCAATAATCATCTTCCACTTGCTGAGAAACCACGGCGCCGCCTGCCAACTTCGCATGTCCCAGGGGTGAGATTCCGTTCCCCTCGATGTGTCGCGGCCTCGACATGTCAGCGCATTCCGAGTATAGATGTCCAGTTTCATATCCCAGAGCGAGAATATGTGAGGAAGAGCTGCACACATTAAAATAGCGCGTTCGCGCAGCCGAGGTATAGGAATCAGATCTAGACTGGCGTGGTGAGGCACGAGGATTTGTGCCAGGGTCGGCTTGAGGGAATCCGGGAGAGAGCCATGTGACGAGGCCGCGATAAGTGCTGCTGGATCCTCGTTCATGTGTACCGACGCTCGGTAGAACGGGGACATGCAGGGGTTCTCGCAACCTATTAGCTCTGGGATATTTATACCTATGCAAGCTGCATTTGACAGACACGCTCTGAAGACGGCCGTGAAGTTATCCTCCAAACCCCCTCGTAAGCCCGAAGGCATGTTCAGGGAGCTTGTAGTCTGCACTTCTAATGGCGGTGCTGCGGCTATGGGTGCCAATGAAACGGCGCTAGCTTCATTCTGAGATATAGAAGACGGCGGGGACGGGTTCAATACAGGCTGCCGCGGCCCAGTCACTGACCGATCGCCCCCATCCGAACGCGACGTTACCTGGCTTACAACACGTATTGGAAGAGAATCAGATATATCTGGAGTCCCTACATTATCCTGTCGTGGCGCCAGCGGGCGCGAGCTCGCAGTACCAGGTTGCTCTTGAACAGTCCTCCTTTGCTCTTTTTGCCGTCTTCCTACATGCGCTGCATTAGTACTCTTGGAGTGATATGGTCACGGCATCGGGTCTGATTTCAACTCGCAGTGAGTGAAGATCGGGAGCACGTACTATAAGCCCTCTGGGCAAGCCTGTTTTGCTCCTTTCGAGCCGGCGTAACCACTCTTTTCTTGGTTTGTTTTTGGGCCGACGTTCCAGCATCAGCATGAGTGTTATCTTGCTCTAGCGCACGGCTGCTATCCATCCTCCACCTTGGCCTCTACGCCAACTGTGCCTCTGGGTATTCGAACTGTGGAAGACTCCTAAAGCCAATGAGTTACCAACGTCATCAATAAGCCATTCAGTTACATGTAGCGGGGAGTCCTCAAGAGTGGGCGAATTGAGTTTATTCCCGCTTAGCTCCGGCTGTGTTTGGTAGCGTCAGAAGGATCAGATCGACTTGCCCTTGGCTTACGGGTTACTAGCCAATCGAATTCTCAGGAATACCGTCAGCCATCCAAGTTCACGACCTGTTGTTTTCCAGTTCATTAAGACTCTTGTGAACAAATTTCATTTAGAGGACGGAGATACGAAGTCTACGATTGCAGAGAGCTCGGCGTATATACTCAAAAATGGATATATATATCTCGAGAAGTGAGCCCTTGACAATGGCTTCAAGCAGAACATCATCACACGTTCTTCATCAATTACTTGATCGCACATCAACTCGCTGGTTATAAAACTGCCTCTGCACCCTACCCAAGGCAAGCCCACGGCCTTCCATACAAACAAAATGACATCCCATCCCAGAAAGACTATTGCCATAATCGGTGCAACTGGGAACCAAGGATTCTCTGTTGCAGAGACCTTTTCATCGCTCCCCGGCTGGCACATCCGTGCAATCACTCGGTCTCCATCGTCGGACAAAGCAAAAGAACTCGCTCAGATGGGGTGCGAGATAGTCCAAGCAGACCTTGCGGATATCCCATCTCTATCTCGCGCCTTCGACGGTGCACATGCCATCTTTCTCAACACCGATTTCTGGGCGACGTACCGCGCGTCTGCCCTGGCGGGCGACGATCCGGAGAAGAGCGCCAAATTAGGCTTTGAAACAGAGATCCAGCACGGCAAGAACGCTGCCCTGGCGGCTGCGGCCGTGCCGACTCTGGAACGCCTGGTTTATTCTGCCCTGGGCCCGATGAACGCTGCTTCGGGCGGGAAGTATCCGACCTCGTACCACTGGGAGACGAAGGCTCTCATCGTAAACTACATCGAGAAAGAGCAGCCAGAGCTCGCTGGGAAAATTTCCTTCGTCTATATGGGCGCGTATGCTACCAACCCTCTCCTCTCTCCGAAGCCTGACGCCTCCACTGGTGAATATAGAGCACTGCTTCCCTGCAGCGGCAAGACCCGCATGCCCATCTGCGACGAGACCAGATCTCCTGGGCCCTTTGTTCGAGCTCTTGTCGAAGACGAAGCTGCTGGTGTGAAACTCCTTGCGTATGACAGCTACTTGACCATGGAAGAGGCCGTCGAGGCTTGGTCGAGAGTTACGGGCAAGAGCGCCACGGTGGTTGCTCTGAGCATTGATGAGATGAGCAGACGTACTGGCGTGCCTCACGAGGTTCTCTGGGCACCCGCATTCGTTGAAGAATTCGGGTTCATGGCTGGGGTGGAAGGTTTCATCGAACCCGCCCAGTTGCAGAAAAAGGTGACCACGGCGAGTTATGAAGAATGGCTGAGGACGAGAGATATGAACCAGTTACTTTCACGCGATTTCACTATATAAATTCTTCCCACAGGCATTCCCTCAATCTCTTGTCTAAGGTGTGTGTGTCTACTGCATGATTGAGGTATCTGCTCTAGTTCGATAGCTTGACCTAGCGTGTTCAGGATGATGAAGAGTATAATCTAAATAGGAAGATTGAGACGCCCCTGGTTCATGTATCAATGTCACTTATAACCTTTATGGAAATAGAACGGGTTTTGCGATGCATGTGGTTGGAAGTGGTCCTTCTGAAAATAACAAAAGTGATGAAAATAACACCGAATATAACGAAGAGATAAATAGAAAAGAAGGCGGGCCAAGAAAATCATATATCCGTCAATCATAACGTCGTTCCATCAAATCCATTCGTTGCAAAATCTCCATCAAGCTCACAAGACAGTAAACCTCGAAACCATTAGGTTCCTCGCAATCCAATTATACTATACTGATATCCACGATCTTAGAAACGTCAGTGTTGTAGCGGCTTCCAACCTTGAAGTCCTCGCCATTCATGGACCCGTGTAGATAGCAGTCTCCGACAAACTCGTAGGCAGAGTCAGACACAACGAGGTGCTCGTCGTCATCGTTACCATCATCGCCGCGTAGTTTAGGCCGCAGAATATACGGAAAGAAGCCGCCAATGATGGCAACGACGACATCGCCCTTCGCGACCCCGCCTCGCGCGCGGTCCTCTCGTTGGGCAGGGAATAATTCCCCGCGCTCGGCACGCGCAAAGGCGCTCGCCATCTCCGGATCCCGCGCCTGCAAGAACGATCGGAAGTCCATCATCATCATCTGGCTGAGCGGGTCTAGCGCGTTGCCCCCGGCCATCCGAGTGAGCATGTGAAGATCATCATTGGCATTAGCATTGGCATTGGCAGCGTCCCCGAGCTCTCCCCGCGCCGCCTCGCGCTCCTCGACACGCAACTTCGGATCGACGCTGACGACGTCTTCGACGGCCGTCATCCCGAAACGCTGGCCCCCGCTGGTCCGGAAGAACCGCCTTCCGAGCGATAACTGCCCGAACTGCGCCGCGAAGTACTGCCCTTTGCCGCATTTCGGGAGCAAGGCCATTACTTCTGGCATGTTGCGCATGCGGGCCTGGATTTCTGGCGTCCGGAGCTCGTGCGGCGTGCAGTCTAGCAGCTTGAGCACGGCCTCCTGCGCCATCAGGCTGTGGAAGCTCGCGCCCATGACCGCCGATGGCGCGGCCTTTTGTGAGCCCAGGGTTTCCGTGAAGGCGGAGCTGAGGTTCATGAGCAGCGTCCTCCAGAAGCGCTCGTCCCTGTCCTCCACTGTCTCATTGTTGCTCGGAGCAGGGAGATTCCGGTATTCTTCGTAGCACAGGCTGGAAAAGTTCCCGCTGTCGAAGACGCGCGAGACGTGCTCAACGCGGTCTAGCACGTACGCCTGCACGAGGAGCGCGTTGTCGTCCTCGCGGACCCGGATCGTCTTGCGCGGCGAAACCGTCTCCCACCACGCCCGCAGCCCGTTCTCCGTTACGGACACATGGCTTTGGGACGGCGACCCCGCGCTGAAATCAGGCACCCAGCTAGGTAGGTCCCGGATGCGTCTCGCGCACGGCACGCGCTCGTTCAGCCACACTAACAGGTCCTGCCGCTCGAGCACCGTGTACCGCGCCGCCTCGATGAAGACCTGCTGCGCGGTCTTGGAGAAATCGACGCGGGGCAGGGGCTGCGGGCCCGCGCTGTGCTTCTTGACGCGCTCCGAACTCGTGGACAAGGGGATCATGGAAAAGACGTAATCTCTAGGGTCCTCGGCACCGCAGTCCCGGGCCGTCTGGATCATGGGGAAGAGCTCGAGGGTATCGCCCAGACGGCGACGGCGCTCGGCTATCTCGATCGCATTGACGCAGAATGACGCCTTCTCTACGTGCGGGAGTATAGGGTGTAGTCTGTATTTCGCGTGGAAGAGTGGGAATGCCCGCACTGCGCCCACGTAGTTGGACCACCGGATGTTGCTCCGTCCGCAGACGATGAAGGCTTCCTTTGCGAGCACGATCTCCGGTATGCTCTGCACGCAGGTGAAGTACGCCGACCCGACCGCGTCGAACAGCGCGTCCCATATCGCAAGGTAATCGGAGCTCCGCGCCGCGAGAGCCGGGAATTCGTCCTCCCTGAGCTTCGCCTTGATCCCGGCCAGCTGCTGCATTGTCGCGCGGCTCAGGCTCACGTCTTGCGACAGGTTGACGTGCAGACGGGCTTGGTGCCACCGGTTCGCCATCTCGTGGATGACGTCGAAGGCCCGCGACGATAATGCGGACTTCTCGGGCCCGAGCCAGCAGAGCGTCTTGTCGGCGTTCGCAAGGACCTGTCGGATCGTGGTGCCTTCGAGAATGCGCTCCTCGGCCGTGCGCCCGACCAGGAGGTCGGCCCAGAGCGTGCGGGGCTCCTCTTTGCGTCGAAAGGTGCGCAGCGCACTCTCCAATGCTTCTGGAACCTCAAAATCTTCATTATCGACCGAGATATAGACCGTTTTGGCGTTCTTGGCGCGTTCGTACGAAATGCATTCATACGACGTGCCCTCCAGATCAGCATCGATGAGCGTGAGCTTGATAGGAGCGTTCTGCGAATCCGCCGGCTCTAAAACGGCGAGGCGGGATTTCACACCACTCGCTGGAGCGTTGACGAGCCTCGCAAACGGATTATTGCTGCTCATGATTCGTCTTAGACTGGACGTAATGCTCTGCGTGAGTGATGGATTTGAAGCCGCGAATCGTGTAGTGAGGGTGAGGGTGATGACCATGGAGTGATTCTAGACATCTTGGCTACTCGCAAGCTGCCATTTATAGTCATTATGGACGTCTTATTCCTCCTGCCCGTTCGAATCCTGCGCATGTCTGCCTGGTGGATATGATTGTCTGCACCAAAGCATTGGGAACCAACATGTTTGCTCTCTGCGAATCCATCAGGCAGCAGACCTGATCTTGACTAAGTAGGGAACCTCATGCCAAGCAAATCAGCCCACTCATATTGCTGGTCCAAGGCACCAACAGCATCAACAAACACGATTAAGCTGTCGACGGTACTATATCTATCTCACTCGCCATGTTATCATGACTTCCGTTGATCCCAGTGTAGCTAACAAGATGGGAATACATACCTACTCATATATGCCAGCGTTGAGGTACGGCCCTCAGTGCTGCCTGCCATCATCAGACATAAATAAATACATCCATAAGTACGGATTATTATCCGGGCACTACATACCGAGTGCCTTCTTCCGCCGAGATATAGTAGAGGAGTACCTCGACTAGCAGCAGTGCAAAATGTCCACAGAGCAACCACGGTAAGTACAGCCAGCTATAAGCCCAAGCAACGAACGCTATTCAGCTACCGATTTCTTGCTCCCTACTTACCTAGCATTCACTGTGAGAAGTAGTGTAATTATAAAATCAGAGCAGCGAACATCACCGACGAAAGCAACAGATCTGGTATATATCAAGGTACACAGGCCTGAGCCAACAAGACTTTCAATCTCTATCAGCTCGTTCGGCCTTGTATTGCTTTTTGTACGCGTGTATGTATGTATATGTATATATGAACAATTCGAGAATCGCTTGTATCGCATGCTAAGGGTTGGTTGAATTCTGTCCATACCGATACCCATTGCGGATACTTTCGAAAACGATTACTCTTGCACACCTGATCTATTCCCCCACCAAGCCCGTAGGCAAGAAGAGCCCTCGAATACATAAATAGGCCGTCTACTCCCAACATTCTTTCCTCGCTCCTTCTCTGCCGCTTATCCCACACAACCGCCATGCAAAGAGTTAGAGAAAAAAAAGACAACAGCAAGGGACATCATGCCAGTCGTGAATAGAATAAAAGAATCATAGACATCAAACCAAGAAAAGTGAAAGCCGACCTCGAAAAAGAGATGTTTGAAACCATGGAAAGATTAAACCCCAGCTCCATGTACCCCAATGCCCAAGAACCCCATCTTCAGTCTAAACGTAAAAAAAAGGGACGAAATTGCCCTTGTGAATGCCTAAACCAGGCCATGGAACATTGCCCAATCGCAAGATGTGAGAGCCCTCGCCCTCTCCAAGACAAAGCAAGGGGTATCGATGAGGATTCTAGTTTCCAGATCCCTAGATGTCGCCGTGATACTTTTGAGATGTCTCCAGAGATGCAAAGATTAGGAGATATCTCTCAGATACTTTCGGTCCGGAGTATCTCCCACATGGCGGGACCTAGAAGGCCCTGTTAACAAAGGGTAAGGAGCAGGCAAAGGTTCCCCTCGATTACATCTCCATACGATCAATGTGAAACTAGGCATGTGAAGTGTTGCAAAGCCAACCAATAACTGTAACCATACAAGGCGAAGGTCCAGGGCCATTATGAGAAGGATAGCTCCATCCTATATAAAGAATCTCGGAAACACCCAGGTGTTATTTTGAATAGCAGGGCTCATCAACAGCCATCGTCACATGCGACAGCTTTTGGGCAGCGTACGATTGTTCCATCCTCCAGAATAGAAGGGAATAAAAAGAGTGGTTGGTCGGGTCAATGAACCAGTCGTCGAGGTTCATAAAGTTCTTTTTTTCTTTTAAACGCCACGAGTAGTCTCGAATTTTTTTTACCGCCGTCGCTGTCAAATGCGAACAAAGTGTGCCACAAAGAATCTATTGTTGAAGAGAAATGAAACAAAGGCAAAAAACTCCTGTCCGCAATTAAAAAAAACCGTCATGAACGCCAGGAATGAACATTATAGTGGAAAAATCGCCAGAGGCGATTCGGTCGGGTACCAAGGACCCGGAGATAGGACAGTTCGGTATGTAGTGATGCGCAGAGGCACAACTGGAGCCCTCAAAAGGTCCCAGTAGGTGTCGTACGAAGATGTCCAAGCAACGGAAGGCCGAATCGAATCCGATCAATTATCTCAAGTCCTATGGAGCACTTGCCGCTCCCAACCATTTTGCCGAAAGGGGTATCAAGTCGAAAAAAGGAAATGTGTTCGTGAAACCGTCAGAACCGTATCCAGCTAATCAATAGCAAAAGACTTCGTTGTCACTCGAAAGTCTGTTCATGCTACATAGTAAGGCCACCTAGAGTGACCTAATTCAACTCGGGTAACTCGCAAAAGCTTATCCGAGACATCAGCGTTAGCCGATAACAGGTTGGCCAAAGGCATGGGGGTGAAAGTAGGAACCAGCTTTGGCGTGAATAGCCGAAATGCACTGCGCACAGTTACACTCAGCTACACCGGCGTCCCACCCCGTATGCCCGGCATATTGGCCGAAGTAGGGCTGATGGAAATGTGAGCCACCTCTAGATGAAGAATAGTTGTGGTGAGTATTGTAGCGACCATAGTTTTGGTTGGCCACAGCTTGACTGAACCATTCATTATATCGTGAATTAACCGATGCAGCCGAGTTCAAGTACTCGGGCGTGCCGTAACCCGAATCCGGGGGTGTTAATGGAGCTTGGGTCCAAGGGTTTTGATAGCGATTGGGCCACGAACCCTCGCGAGGTCGATAAGAAACCTTGGCAGGTCGACCGTTTCTCCCATTCATAGCAAGGCGTTCCTGATCCGCAATCTCCTCGGGGGTCCAGCCTTCGTATGAAAGTGGGTGATGGGGCTGTCTCGCTGCTTCGGTACGAATGGAGGTGACGATGGGCGCCAATCTCTCGCGAAGAGCAGCTTGAGCAGCTTGAGACTGCTGTTGCCGGATGGCACGGCATTCGTTGTCTCGATACCGTTTCCAGCTGTTCAACCAGGCTTCGTAGTCATGACTACGATCAACGTTCACGTAGAGCAACCAGTCCATATCCTGTAGCCATTTGCCTTCCATGGTGTTGAGTTCGGCAACAGCAATACCACTGACGTCGGACCAAGAGCGATTCTGGAATGTGTTATCATCCAGGAACTTGCTGCCAAGGAGCAAAGCAACAGTAAGCATCTTCCAGGCTTCACCTTCGCAAACGGCATCGTAGGTACCTGCGGGCTTGTGCATGTTGATGTGCTTGGCGAGGTAGTTCATGCCCAACAAGATGGTGGTACTAGGCAGACGAGTGGAAGTCAGGATTTGGTTGACGAATTTGCGGAAGGCCGCGGTTACTGAAGTACGAGGAATGACGAGTCGGGTTGCCATATCAGCAACATAGTCGGACATCATGTCGGTCTCGTAATCGAGAACCGCGCACACACCGCCCGGCATGATGAAAGGAGTGGGAAGAATCTCCGTCAAAGATCTGCGTGCGACCTTTGTCGGAGGGAGAATCTGCTTCAAGCACGTGGAAATAACAGCTCAGCTGTACCCTGCAGGGGGGTAGAGCAACTGGCAGCGAGTTCCAAGGCCGAAGAGAGAGGGTTTCGGGTTTTGGGGGGGGAGGTTGTTGAAACCCTACTGAGCTGCTCCAGCCATCAACGATTGACCAGAAAATGGGACACAGCAATGTGGGTTGATTGTAGAGTAGACACTAGCCCGCTTCGTCAAGGAGGACCTGTAGAAGGGTAAGGCGATTCTATGCAATCAATGCTAGGAAAGCTAGTGGGAAGGACTGTTTTGTACGAATTCGTGATATACAAGTCAAATCTATCTTTCGAAATGGTCAGCACAACGCGCTTTGTATGGAATGCGAATACAGTATGCGGTAATGAAAATTGTGTAGGATTCAAGGATAGTTGGCATCTTGTCGTGTTTGCTTCCACAAATGATAAGGCTGACTAGGACGAGAAAAAGCCGGGAGATTTGCTCCAAGATGAATTGGAGTGGTCAACCGGGCATGTCGCGGTAGCATCAGGACTCCTAGGCCAAAGAGTTGCGCAGAGTATGGGCTTTCCTTTTCATCCATCGCAAGCTACTTCGCCAGGACCAAAATTTCCGCGACTGAGTATAGATGTTTCAACGGCTTTCGAAAGTTTATATTGGTGCAGCGAGCAAAGGTAGATTCATCTCGTACATAGCTCCTTCGGCTGACGACACGAGCGTAGCATACAGATAGTATACTACTCTCTAGCCAAGCCGTAAAAGTTCAACGAGCCCAATAGATGTGCAAACAACAAAACTTGTAAATGATTCAGGTATAAAAATTGACTAACCTTTTGAGATGGAAACAGGCGCGACGCAGAAGGGAGCAGTCGGCGACGACGGAAACAGTGTACGCGAAGGAAAGAACTTTTGTTATCGGATACGAGTAGTGTGATGTGGAGGGTGATGGCGTAATCGGTGAATGATGTTGGTTCGAATGACGGGATTAGAGGGTATTTGCTGAGATGGATTATCCAGATAATTGACGTCTCGCTCAATGAAGAGGATCCGAGGTTCGGTGTTGGGCGGGTTTTGGGAAAAGTTGACCACGAATGCGTCGTTTGGCAGATGCAGCAATCTCAGATGCTAGCTAGCTTGCGAGAAGCTCGTCCCTGGGGGGGTGATATACGGTGTCGTCGAAGATTCCCTGTCGTTGACGGCGACCGAGAAGGCCGAGGGAGCGGGTATGCGGGTATACGCGAAAAAGAAAAAAGCTGGTCAAAGCCTCGGGCTAACTCTGGTCCTCGAAACCTCCCGAAATCTCGATATCTCGATGTGTCAGACTCGAGTGCTTCTTGTAGTTGGCTCAGCTCGACTTGTCTCGTTTCGTTTCTCTACTCGGGGCACAAAAAAAAACCGGCGAGAACCTGGGAGTCCCGACTTAGACAAGGGTCTAGGCGGGCGTTCGGGTTGACGCGCAGGTGAGGAGGAAACGAGGAAGAGGCAGGGCCAAGAAGAAGAAAAGACTGATAGTTATCGAGAGGCAGCAGAAGCTGGGAAGGAGAGAGAGACAGAGACAGAGGCAGAGAGAAGAGAGGAGAGGAGGAGGAGGAGGAGGAGAGATGTCGATGGCGATGAGAGGGAATGACGGAGAGTGAAGAGGAAGAAGAGGCAGGCAGGGTGAGAAAGAAGGTTGCCAGTGAGAGCAAAGCAACGCAGGACAGGACAGGACGGGACGGGGAGTGGATATTGAAGTACGGTAGGTAGTATGAGGTAGGTAGGTGTACCTACAATACTATATTACCTAGTAGAGTACGCGGGTACATTCTGTACATTCTGTACATGTGAGTAAGTGGTACCTAGGTAAACGAAAGAGGGCCATGGGGCGAATGAGCAGGCGAGGATTTGGGGATGAGATGGGATGGGATGGGGCCGATGGGGACGATGGCCGATGCTTGGGTGTGAATGAGGCCAGGATTGGGGGGAGTGGGCGAGGGTGGATGGATGGACGGATGGTTGGATGGTTTGATGGGTTTGGTGGGAGGTGGATGCGATGCGATGCGATGCGGTGGGTGGATGATGGGGACATGGGGACATTTGGGACATGGGCCACGGACACAGCGGATGGGCACAACGATGGGCTCCAGGTACTTCCAGGTACTTACAGGATACCTATTTAGCCGCCTAGTCCGCGCAGGACTTTGTAGGTATCTACCGTGCAGTAACAAAGTACCGCGGAAGAGCGTCTGACTCTTTTAAAAAGGTTCACTGGGGCAACCTTAACCTACATATGTACTTTTACACTCGTATAGTACTACATGTATACCTACTTTACTACATACCCTACCCAATCCTAATTCTATCTACTATAGGCATCTCAGTATCTGTATTGCAACATGTATCACCTACTGTGATTATCAAAGTCAGACACAAGCACGTGTGGACCAATACCTACAAGCACTTACCTACTTACAGCACTAGATGTACCTAGGTAGCATACTTACATACTCTACGTTAGGTACCTAGATGGGATTAAGTAGGTGGTAGGCGCTGTGGTGTAGCGCGGACGTACTAAACTAAACAAGTACCTAGGTACCGTACCTATAGCGACGTCGGGTGAAAAGACAGTGGAGGTAAGTAGGCGAGGTGATTCGACGGTACACTGGAGCCAGTCCCCTTGATCGATGCCGGGGCCAGTGTGATTGGGCCTTGAGGCCTGTGCAGAGAAGAGGCCTGTGGGAACAGTGTGCTCTCTTTCACCTCACCTAGTTAGCGTAAGTTAGGTAACCTACTATGTAGGTAGCGTGTGTGCCTTGGCGTGCAGGGCTAGCAGGGCTAGCTTTCTCCGGTACAGGCAATGGTACAGGCAACGGTACAGGCAACGGTACAGGCAACGGTACAGGCAACGGCTACTTCGTATACCTTAGGTACTCCGTACACAGGGAGTAGTATGTGTTGAGTCTGTTGGCAAGACAGAATTACATCTGCCCTGTGATGTAAAGCCTCTGCACGCCGTTCCAAAGACGTCTTAGTGCTGGACCCGCTGGACCTCGGTGCCTGCTATGCGGAAGGTAGGTTAAATACTGACTTGATGGACATGTGGTAACAAATACATCCAAGTCAGCAAGCATTCAAACAACCGAGGCTTGGGTTTATATAGGTATTCGGGCAAAAAGTAAACTACCTACCAATCTAGAATATTTTAAATATTCAACACTTATTCAACACTGCCTTCAAATTGGTGGAGGATTCGCATACCGGCAAATTATACTAGGTACCTATGTATATACTGATCTAATTACTTCCTGAATAGCATTGTGTGCAAGTCAGTTGCTCCACCTGAGAGCTTCTCATGGCGGGTAACTCTGGTAATTAACACCGTTTTCCAGCATGCATCTGCATGGGCTGGTACTTACATATACACTACACATGTACTTACCCAGATAGGTAGAGTCTCTACTTGACTTGTCCCACTGTGTAGAAATCCCTCATCTCCATCCATCCATTAACAAGCCAGGCCAGGACATACAAGTTCTGTACAAGGTGCACAATAGATAGCCAACAGACCCTCTGGACAATGCCGAAGAGCATGAATGGCCAGACAGGCAGATAAAGGGCAAACAGATTGTTCCTGCTCAGCGTCGTCGTCGTCGTCATCATCATCCGCTCACAAATCCAAAGCCCAGGCCATCTAGGTACCACATACTGTCCAGATCCCTAGGTAGGCACTGTCCATACTTACATTGTAGGGTATTGTATTGTATTGTATTGTCTCCCAGATCGGTATTACGAACTTGGCAAGGAAGTATCTCTCTGCGATCGTCGAGCCGCAATACGAACCCAGAGAGGAAACCTACAGAATGTGGCAAATATCGACGTCAAGAGACTGACTGGATGAGCTCGCAAATTTTTGGAATTTTTTTTTTTTTTTTTCCTGCACTGCACCACTCATTTGGGAGGGGTTCACTTGTCCTGCCATTAATAGCCTAACCTATCTACGTAGGTAGTACTGGAGAAGCTCGCGAACACTATTTACACTACCTACACTACTCTACACTTGGCCGATGGATGGGAACCAACCGCCCGCCTACAGTAGTCGTGTGCGCTACTGTATCTTCTTGGACACTACTTACCTACAAAGTACGTGTAAGTGGCTTGATTCGGCCCATGGCCGCGGAATTTCATCCCAGCATCGCCTTGGCTAGCGACGGATGGAGGACGAGCTAGAAAGACCCCTTCTTTCTGTGGTGATCCATTACTCAAGTCGTCGCACTTGTTGTGGACGGATGGATGGCTAGGCTTGTATGTAAGTAGGCAAGTTGATAGTTAGGACACTTCTCTGCTTGTAGTGTCTACGCTACCGTGCAATGTTTTGACAGTCGATCATGTGTCATGAACCAGCGTTCTGGCCAGCCAGCCCGTTTTGCCTTTAGCCATACGAAGTAGGTAGGTACTTACTCTGCCACACCCTACCTGCAGTACCACAGGTACAGACCAGATGGATGGGTAGTTGTGCTGGACTGATAGCGTCCAGCGCCTTTGGTGGTGGTCATTGTGAAAGGGGGCGTGTATATAGCATGAGTAGGTAAGTGTTCTTTCAGATCCTCTCTTAACTTACCTAGTACATAAGTACAGACAGACACATCGTACCTATGCTTGTTCAAGCATGCTTGGGCACGCTGCTCAGCCTGGTTTGAGGATCCGGACGCTGGGATAAAAACTAATATAGGCTGAGGATGGCGCTGCCAGTCATAGGTAGTTCAGAGTAGTTCATATGAAATCCCAATCAAAGCCACGCTATTTTTTTTTCTTGCGACGAGTAGTGTAGATCGCGCTGCTAATAATACCTGCCCTGATATTTCCCGTACCAAACTAAAGTAAGTACTACTAGGTTACTACTAGGTCGGTACTATAGCCGTGTACATGTAAAAACGCGTGTACACATACTCGTATGTACGGAGTATGTGCGTAATTTATTTCATGTGTAAGTAGTACACTAGGTACACCACTACTGAATGCCCTACCATGCTTGATTTGATGGACTGATTGATATGATGGATGGAGGGAGGCATACTTACATAAGTAGGTAGGTATGTACAGAATATGTAGATAGGCAAAAGTTGAATGCTCATTTCGGAATTTCCCAGCCTTCTTCCGTCGCCACAAACTCTTCAACGGGCAACAATTGGCTGAAGGCGGTGACAAAAGTGGTGATTGGGGGAAGGGGTCTTTGGACAAGTCTGGACAAGACAAGACAAGATGCATTAGTCTTGTCCACTGTAAAAGTAAATAGTGTAGCAAGGAAAACTCTTCAACGGTTTTGAGCGGCTCGAGTTGCGCTACCTGCGGCTTTTCTGCTTTTCATGGGAACAGGCAGAGAACAGACAGAGAACAGACAACAAAAAAGCCGGGACAACGAGGAGCGAGTCGTTTCTTACACGTACACGCTACCTAGGTTCCCTACGACAGGGTCCAGACGCCGACGGGCTACGGCGAACTGGGACGAGACGAGTCATACGCTCCCGATATTTCCAAAGAACTGTGCGCTCATCTGCCTGCCAGGCTGACCACCGGGTCATGCTCTTCATTCATTCATTCATTCATTCACTCATTGTCCAGAAAAATCCGTTGCTTAGTTCTGACACATTGCCGGAACCGTTTGTGCGTTGTGTGTTGTGGGTGTTGTGGGTGGTCCGGATACAGTACCCAGATTAGGGGGCCGGATAGATCCACCGGGGGGGTGTAACACAAGCTGAAGGAAAATCACCTGCGGTGAAGGGATTATTTTTATTTTATTTTGTTTTTGTTTTGATTCTTCAAATGACAGCAACACGCTCTTTGCCTTGTTTGAGTACCCGTGCCTACATATGTGTGTACTTATACGTGTATGTAATACATGGTAACAAGGATCGATATCCAAAGTCGGATCTCTCTAACACGTAGTCAGTAGGGATAGCAGATATGTAGCAGAAGAGACGATTACCAAACAATGATATACAATACTACGTACATACTTATATATATATGTATGTACATACGTAGTAAGTCGGCTTCTGAACGCATTGAACGCATGGAGCTAGGTATCTATGAATGATACAAGTCCAAGTCGCAGCCTCGCACGGGCAATTGTCCAAGCTGATACATCCAGTCAGTCATCCAGAAGCTTGGGCTTGCTCTAAACAGCAGGTCGCTTCAACTAATGTTCAACTACCTAGGTAGGTACCTACTTACGATAACTTTAGTACCTCCTGATCTCATCTGAAAAGAGCCCTGCGCTAGAATCAGGCAGCGTTACATTTGACCGAGTACCAATGCATTATCTCTCTCATACCAGTATGCCTCATCATACAGTACTTGCATATGGTGTCTTGACTTGGAGCAGACCTCCGACCTCCCACGCTTTGAGCTAGGTTATTGTCCTCATGCGTCCAGCGTCATAATCAGTACCGGTATGCGAAGTACCGTAGTATGTATAAGCACTAGATGAGTACACGAGATGGATACTTATAGAGCCTATCTTGACTCTTCCTCCAACTTGTGCCGCCGCAACAAGTGGCGAGGAGACGCGTTAGATTGCTCTTTTGTCACTTCCCATGGCCAACGAAGCCTACCTAGAGGAATCCTCATCCAAAATAGCTTCTTACCTAATCACCGACGCGCCCCAGACTTCCCACAAAGCAAACCCTCGTTTCCTAGGCCTGCATGCACTCGAGCTTTACCTAGATCGTTGACAACACGTCTGGTAACCACACGCGTTCGTAACTACAAGGGAGGTACAACCACGTAGATATTGATGCTGTTCATGGTGGCGTAGATGCGGGCAGCGGTTGTGTTGCCTGTCTCTGCCTGTCTCTGCCTGTCTAGGCACCTATCCGACTGTCTGTCCGACTTACCCAGATTGGGAGCTGGCGGGAATACCGTTGTTAGTGTTACTATGAATATCCATCCCCAACCATCTCTCATCCCTCTCATCCCACTCTGCCCACCCAAGGTGGTGGTGTTCTGGTGGTTGTTCCGGTGGCGTGTAGTTAGTGTAGGTACTACTTAGCTATCCTTGGCCTGTTCCTTGCCCACGGGCCATGGGTTTATTATGTATGTACGTGTATGTATGCAGTTGTAGTGTAATTACACCGACGATCACTGGGCACACAAATGGGCCACTTGCACCAATCCCGTAAATCTTGGAAAAGGTTGCACTTCATCTGGAGTTTCGGGTACACTACCTACGACATGATATTTCGCTCACAGCGCCCAAGTTTCCATACTCTTCTCTGCCGAGACCAGCCAGAGATATTATACCTATTACTTATATTACACTTACTATGTATACCGGCTAGATTGATACGCGCTGACGATATACAGTTACCTGGAGGGCTTATAAACATACCTGTATATACACTGGATTGCGTACAGGAACACATCAAGCTTCAATCGATCTGTCTACCTACTTATGTACTTACGCCATTTATATTACCAGGTAACACCCGAGGCCATCTCGGTACAGGCAGCACGCAGGTTACCACATGTTACAATAAGTGGTATACAACATTCCCACTCACTGTCACCCCTACCTACTCTACGAAGTAGGAGAGTAAGTGGACACATTCGAGGACTAAAACTCGTCCACCGTGTACAGCAGCCAGCCAGTCGGCCCTCTCTCGTGCTTCCCGTGAGCATGAAAGCCGATCTGGTAGGGTAGGTAACCGTCTCAACTGTCAAGACACAGATCCAGTACCCCTTTTACTCGTAATCGTGCGCCCGCCCATGCAGCGACGTCTTTCCCAGCGCTTGATTTGATTCTCCTAGCCTACTTACATCTACTGGGTCGGCTCTCGGTGTCTCTCTGGGCCAGTGATCCGGTATCTTCCAGCAGCAAGACGAGTAGCGTATGAGAGATTTTCCAGAGTATGTCCTCCGAGGTCCTCTTCCTTTTGATCTTTCCGATGGCTAGTTCGCTAGTCCAGTCCCCAAGGAATACGGTAGAACATCATCCAGAATCATCCAAATAGCGTTCCGTCCTCCTGAGTCAGCCGATACCATACCAAGAACAACTCTCGCCTCCTTCTCTCGGTTGTCCGCAGTGTGGAGTTCCTCAACGACTCCCGAGAATTCCAGCTTCTGCCCAGCCCAGGCCACTAGTTCCTGTAGCGTGCACTACAGTAGCTTTGGCGCACATGGCCAGTTTTGTCTCAAAAAGCATTGGCCGTGACCGTAGTCACTACCTACCTGATACCAGCGACAAATGTCACGCCGGCCCTACTGTATCATCATCGTCGTCGTCGTCGTCGTCGTCATGTTGCCATCGCAGCATTATCACTTCGCTGCTGCATGAACCTCTTCACTGCTACATAGTACGTATACCAATAGATACAGGCAGCCTTGGGTAAGTAGGTGGCGGACATGTAGGTAAGTACGTGATCCTGTGTCCACAGGCAACCCAATAGGATGTGCGAGAATGTGCTCGTCGAAAGGCATCAGAGGACCACCAACCCCATGGCAGAAGCCAAGATGCGTGCCTTGTGGATATTTTGCTCACGCACATCCACATTCTCACTCGTACGGCCATATCACACTTTGTATGTACTTAAGTATGCCGTTCCCTGCGTCGTGGCAATAGGTGTCTTGCTAGTGGTTCACGGTTCTAGAACTTTGAAGCGAAAAGCGCAAATCATTCCACGGGCAGACACGGGTCCTCGACGAACAGGTTTCTAGCGGTGA